AAAATGCAAAAATTAGTTGGGGTGTGGGTGGTCCACACCTGCAATCCCAGCTATTTAGGAGGCTCAGGTAGGAGAATTGCTTGAACCTGGGAGATGTAGTGAGCCGAGATGATGCCACTGCATTACAGCCTGGATGACAGAGTGAAACTCCATTTTCAGATATGTAAATTAATTAAATATCTTTAAAAAATTATTTTTTAGAGACAGGGTCTCTTTTTGTCACCCAGGCCAGAGTGCAATGGTGCAGTCATAGCTCACTGCAGCCTCAAACTCATGAGCTCAAATGGTCCTCCCACTTTAGCCTCCAAAGTAGCTGGGACTACAGGTGTGCACCACCACGCCTGGCTAATTTTTTGAATTTTTTGTAGAGACAGGGTCTTCCTGTGTTGCCCAGGCTGGTCTCAAACTCCTGGCCCCAGGCCATCCTTCCACTTTCATCTCCCAAAGTGCAGGAATTATAGGCATGAGCCACTTTGCCTGGCTGATTTCTTTTAAAATCAATTATTATGGGAATTTCTGTCTATAACAGCTAGAGAATGCATAATGAACCCTATGTACTGACACCCAGCTTCAACAATAATCAGCTCACGAACATTCTGGCTCCAGCTGTCTTTACACACTGCCCAACACTGTGGGTATTGGGTAATCCCAGCACTTTCAGAGGCCAAGGCAGGTAGATCACCTAAGGTCAGGAGTTTGAGGCCAGCCTGACCAACATGGTAAAGCCCCATCTCTACTAAAATGCAAAAAAATTATCTGGGCGTGGTGGTGCATGCCTGTAGTCCCAGCTACTTGGGAGGATTGAATCATTTGAGAATCACTTGAACCCAGGAGGTGGAAGTTGCCGTGGGCCAAGATTGCACTATTGCACTCCAGCCTGGGCAATAAGAGCTAAACTCTGTCTTAATAATAATACTAAGGCTGGGCACAGTGTCTCATGCCTGTAATCCTAGCACTTTGGGAGGGCAAAGTCACACAGCTTGCAGTAGGACCTCCAGTCATTAAAGGTACCTGGTATAACAGAGACTACTGAGTTACTCACCGATGACCAGAAGTGAAATGTGGAGCCCAGACCTGCAAAAGGCTGGGATGGCACTTAAAGAAAAAGAGGGGGCGGGGCACGGTGGTTCGTGCCTATAATCCCAGCACTTTGGGAGGCCGAGGCGGGTGGATCATGAGGTCAAGAGATTGAGACCATCCTGGTCAACATGGTGAAACCCTGTCTCTACTAAAAATACAAAAAATTAGCTGGGCATGGTGGCACACGCCTGTAGTCTCAGCAACTCAGGAGGCTGAGGCAGCAAAATTGCTTGAACCCAGAAGGCGGAGGTTGCAGTGAGCGGAGATCATGCCATTGCACTTCAGCCTGGGTAACAACAGGGAACTCCGTCTCAAAAAAAAAAAAGAAAAAGAAAAAAGAGGGATAGCATATGCTATAGACTGAATGTCTGCCTCAAAGTTCATGTTGAATCCTAATCCCCAATGTAACCATATCAGAGGTGAGGACTTTGTGAGGTGATTGCAGCTATTGAGGGAGGAGTCCTCATTAATCGAATTAGTGCCTGGTCAAAGAGACCCTGGAGTGCTCTGTTACATCTACCACCTGAGAACACAGCAAACAGGCACCATCTAGGAATCAGGGCTTCCCCAGACAACAAACCTTCTCCTTCCTCCACCCTGACCTTGGGCTTTCAGCCTTCACAAATGTGAGAAATAAATTTCTGTGGTTTATAAGCCACCCAGTCTATGGTATTCTGTTATATCAGCCCAAACAGACTAGGATAGTACAGTAGCTTTCGAGGGCAACTGGAACAAGGGGAAGGAGGACTGACTATTTGTTAAAGATGTCAGCAACTGGCCGGGTATGGTGACTCATGCCTATAATCCCAGCACTTTGAAAAGCCAAGGGGAGCAGATCACCTGAGGTCAGGAGTTGAGACCACCCTGACCAACATGGTGACAAAAAAATTAGCTGGTTGTGGTTGTGCACACCTGTAATCCTGGGCACTCGGGAGGCTGTGGTAGGAGAATCACTTGAACCTGGGAGGTGGAGGTTGAAGTGAGTGGAGGTTGTTGCAGTGAGGCGAGATCGTGTTCACTGCACTCCAACCTGGGTGATAGTGACTCCATCTCAAAATAAAAAAGATGTCAGCAACTTAAGTATTTTTAACGGCTGGGCAGAGGGGACCAATGAAAAAGAGTAGGACATCGTGATCTGAGGGGAGGGTTTGGCTCAGGAAGGAGGAAGTACACCTCTTCCTTGGATACTGGAAGGGAAGGTGTTGCTGATGAAAACTCCAAAGGAAGAAAAGGTCCATGGAGGATGCTTCATCACTGGGTTTAAGTTTTTTAACAAAATTGGTGAGGAAGACATCTGCACAGAATCTAAAAATAATGAATGCAGCCATGGTACCTTAGGGCGCTGGAAAAGGCAATGCACCTGACCTCTGGGGAAGCTGATCTGAGAGGCACGCGGGACGTCTTGGTGTGCGGAATCTGTGTGGAGATACGTCTGGAGACAGTGTCATACTTCCTGACCTTATAACCATGCAGCTCAGCAGTCTCTGCGAGAGTCGGCTCCCTGCAATTTGTGTTCCAGGTACTGCTCTCGTTCGTTAAGACTTCTACAATGGGGAGGGTAAAAGAAATACATTTTAATTTGTAAGAAAATGAAGCATTCAAAAATAAAATTACCTGCTCTATTCAGGGTATATTTGCTTTCCAGCCTATCTTAGCAGTTACAGAGGATAACTGCTAAGTACACTTGACTCGTTCATTTGAACATCATGTGAGCACAATTGACAACCCATCTTAAAAAAAAATCTTGAGAAAAAGTATTTAATTTCTTGACTAAATTTAGCTTTCAGAAGGGATCAGTGATTCTGTTGATGGTGATTGAGACGGTTAATATGTAGATGTTTTCTTCTTGGCATGTGAGAGACATGTTTGTTTTAGTGGGAGCAGCAGGTGTGTATAGAAGGAGACCTGGAGTCCCAGGCCACCACACACTACTTGGGCTGGTAACATGTATTTTTCAAGTTCTGCTCTACCAGTCTGAGTACCATGTGTTGATAACTGACATCTGTGCTTCTATCAAATTAAACCTGAAGTGCCTTTCTCTTTTCATTTCAAATAACTTTGCTCTTTCTTTGCTTATGCCATTTAAAGTGAGATTTGTACCAAAGTGTTAAAATGTATTTAGTGTATTCCTTAATAACATGAATGTATACATTACAATCTTTGATTTAATCATATCTTAAGTCTTTAGTAACAGTGTACTCTTGCACTGGAAATCTTTCAGCTATCTTTAATCTTCATCAAGTTTTCAGTTTATTAGTCTGTTTAATCTCTTATGCCACTTTTACACTTATGCCATTTAGACTAGCAATTAATAAACATTGAGAAAAATAATTATTATAATTGTTACATTGAATTCAGAAGAGTGACACATGTTTAATATTACATTCTATAAAAAATCCTAAGCTTAATTTCAGGAAAGATTCATTTTATTCTTATAAGTATTTACAATTAGTCAAAACTCCCCCTACCCAATCCCTTATCAAAATCAATGTTCATAAACCAACAGGTGAGGTTTTTGTGTGCCCACTAGATACTTATATGTCCATGGGCAGGAATGATCACAGGAATTAACGCATCCATCCAGCTGGACTGTGGAGATGTTTCTAATGTTTGATAGAGATCCTGTTATTCACATAACTGTGGAGTGACTTGGCTAACTGACATATGTTCTTTAGGATCCATGGAGCACGTAACACATCCTGATGCTGTTCTCAGCCTTCTGTGGCCTCTTGGTCACCGTTTCCTACCATCTGAGCTGGCAGAGCAGTGACCCATCTGTGTTCATGTGAGTGATCTATGCCTGTGCTGTCATCACTGAGCAGGGGGCGCGGTTCCCACAGCGTTTTGCCCTGACTGAGGTGGGGAGATGGCAAATCACTGCCTATTGTAATTTGACTCTCATTATTAAACTAGCTGGTCATTCACAGAGGAGGGCAGGAGAAATACAGGACCAGCCAGAAATTAGTAACAGTTAAAAGTGAACATCCAGCAAACATTTTGGCTTTGCTCCTTTGATTTTGGAGTAAAATGCACAGTGGCAGGAACAGATGGCCAATAGCACCCAAGCCCTGTTGTGACTTTCCCTTGGGTGAGTTGGGTGAGAAGCTACCACCTCAACAATACTTTCTCTAGATCCATTAAACTGCATCCCTGCATTGAGGCAGTTACCTGTGGAGACTAAACCAGCACCTCTGAAAGGAAACATTTTTGTTCTATTTTGTTGTGGTGGTGTTGGTTCTCAATCTGGCCAATGCCCTCTGGATTTAAAGTGAGATTTGCACCAAAGTGTTAAAATGTATTTAATGTGATCCTTAGTAATGTGAACGTATACATTGCAATCTTCCCTTTCATCGTATCTTTTAAACCTTTGGTCACATGTACTCTGGCACTGGAAGTCTTTCAAGTGATGCCAGAGTGAGTTTCGATACTGACAGTAGCATCTTATGTAATGTGTTTAAATTTATGAAAAATTTTGATTTAAGATAACCATACTCTTGGAGGACCAGAGACAGCATAATTTTAGGCTATTAGATGCGGCAGTATCAAAGGCATGAAAAATGGAAAAAAGAAAAGTTAAATGGTTCTCACACTTTTTAGTGTCAGTTGTATTACTTCAGTGTTCACTTTCTGCTGCTAATTGTTTGTGAAGATGAAGCTCTAGTGGGCTGTCAGAGATGGAGGACCGTTCCTTTGTCCCACTGCTGACAGTAGAGGGTGATGCTGCTGCTGAGGTACTTGACTGCTCTCATTAGGGTGAAATTGAGAATTATGATCACTTGAACAAGTACCTCTTTTTAGATTTTAAATGAAGAGGGCGCTGCTTTTGTCATGTGTGGGTGTGAGATCTAAGGTGAAGTTATTTACCAAAAACACTGCCCCAGGGACGTCATTGATAAAGTAAACCTATGTGTTTTTCCACTTAGGTTCTTCATTCAATGCAGACTGTTTCCTAAGTTTTTACATCAAAATCTGGAAGAGTCAGCTGCTGATCCTCTCCCCAAGAAGATGAAAGATTCTGTGGTGAGACATTTGTGTTGTGTAACGTAGTATAGGAGGGCCTCACCTTTTCAGCAGAGCTCGGGCTCTCAATGGGCCTCTAGGCAGGTGGACATGAGAAGGGCTAGGACAGAAAGAGACACCTCAGCATGTCTCTGGCACACTGAACTATTGAACTGCCTGCAAGGGTGCAGCCCTTCAGAGCATCTTGATGGCGGCCGTTATGCACACATGGCATGGGTGCTTAGGTGGCCTTCAGTTGGTTGCAGTTTGCCAGGATAGTCACATGAATCACAGTGAGTCAGTTTTGCCTATTGCTGGCACCAAATAGCAGGTGGGCTCTGCACAAATCAAAGCTTGTCAGATAAACGTTTAGCCAACCTGCCTTCCTGATGTGGTCCACATACAACTCTTCTCCATATCTTCCTGCAGCTCCACACTGAGTTCAGAGCACTCTTTCAAAGTTGATATCTGCACAGCCATTACTTGGGGCACTTGGGCTTTAGATTTAGGGCTGGGTCACAGAGAAGTGGGTAACCACACTGGGGAGCACAGGAGAAGAAAAGGAAGAAGGAGGGAGACAGGAAGAATCCTACAGCTATAAAATAATGATGCCATTTCCTTGTTCATCAGGAATATGGCTCTGGATAGCTTCAAACTTTTTTCTTTTTTTTTTTGAGATAGTCTTGCTCTGTTGCCAGGTGCCAGGCTGGAGTGCAGTGGTGCGATCTCAGCTCACTGCAACCTCTGCCTCCTGGGTTCAAGCAATTCTGCCTCAGCCTCCTGGGTAGGTGGGACCACAGGCATGTGCCACCATGCCCAGCTAATATTTTTGTATTTTTAGTAGAGATGGGGTTTCATCATGTTGGCCAAGATGGTCTCAATCTCTTGACCTTGTGATCAGCCCACCTTGGCCTCCCGTGCTGGGTTTAGAGGCTTGAGCCACCGCACCTGGCTCAAGCACTCTCTTAGCAAATGTAGTTTCTTTGGTATCAACTTACAAACATTCATATGTTAAAAGCCAATGCTCCTTAATTGTGTAAGCTCACATACATCTGAGTATTGAACTTGGAGCTGTCTAATGTCCTTGACTCACACTTTTCCTGGTTTTCTTAGGAATAAGAGATAAAAGGAAAAGGGAATAATCTATTGATCCAACCAGGACTGTGTCTCATTTGTCCTGATATCCACAGAGCCAGTGCATGGTGTTCTAGTGGGTGCTCAGTACAGTTCATGGAATTTAGACGAGTTTAATTGCAGTCTGCCATTTCAAGGCAATGTATGGACTCACAGCCAACATGAAAGCCTTTAAAAGAAATTCATACTCAGCTTTTGTGCCTTTAAATGTGATCACAATTCAAGCTAATGTATAAAGGCTTTTTTTCCACCATTAGGGAATCAAAGGACAAATCACTTATCAGTAAGGGCATAGTTCATGAATTTTAAGAGCAGAGATACATTTAAAAGCAAGTTAAAAGTCAAAGCAGTTGGCCCTGATGAGATGGCAGCCCCAAAAAAAGAAATATTTGACATAAGCCTCGCATCCTCAACCTGACTGCTAATATTTATACCTGGAGACTTACAGGGAGAAGGTCAAACTAACATTCCCACAATACTTTTGTAAAAGCTGTAGGGTAGCCCAGAGTCTACCCAAAAGTCTCCCCATGAATATCTGAAAAACTATGCCCTTCTGTCTTCCTTGATTTCATGACTAATGAAGATGCATCTCTACTTTCTGATTTATTGTAGCTTTTTAAAAATTTTTAACCTACACATGGAAGTAAGGAACAAGTCTATAACTACTTCAGTTGTTGGAGGTATCAGACACAGATTTTAAAACAACTATTCTTGAAGTAAAAGGCAAATTTTAAAATTTATAGGCCAGCAGAAACAAGTCTATAACTACTTCAGTGGAGGTATCAGACACAGATTTTAAAACAACTATTCTTATTCTTGAAGTAAAAGGCAAATTTTAAAATTTATAGGCCATAGAAAATATTTAAAACAATCCAGCAGGTTTGAAAGCCAAATAGAATTTTTGAAACAAGTAAACAAGTGAATCAATTGAATTCTACACCACCACACCACCCCACACATGGGAGATTAGATATATCTGAAGAGAGAATTAGTAAACTGAAAAATAGAGAAAAAAATATTCAGAACATAACACCAATTGACAAAAAAAAATCAAGAAATATGAAAGAGAAATGAAGGATAGATTGAGAAGATTTAAAATATATCTAATCAGAATTCCTAGAAAGGCTGAAGCATAATTAATACTTGGTGAGATAATATCTCAAAGTTTACCAGAATTGATAAAAGATCCTTATCTTGAGATTCAGGAATTTCAGTGAATCACAAGTAGGGTAAATTGAAGAAGAAAGAATCCACACCAGCCAAGCCATAGATGCAGCATGCCAAGCACATATACCAACTTAAAGCAAGTAAACAGAATGAACAAATTACATTCAAATGAATGACTGCAAGCTCCCTTATTGAGAGCCATCATGGAAGCCAGAAGATAGTTGTTTGATGTACTTAATGATGTGTAAAGAAAGTAACTAAAGTAACTACCAAGCTAGAACTTTACTCCTGCTGAAAGTATCCTTTAAGGATAAAGGCAAAATAAAGTTTAGAAAAAGAAAAGCTCAAAAATCCTCATTACATGTAATCTGAAGATATTTTCAGTAGTAGAAAGTGATCTTGTGGTAAAAGTTTCAGGAGAAAAGACAAAAAGGAAAAGTGATCTTGGCTGGAAGGTCTGATTTGCAAGTGAACAAAAAAAGTGGCAGGTACATTGGCAAATCTGAATAAATATTAGCTGCATAATACCATGATAAATCCGTATAATTGGCTTTAAAATATAAAGTAGGGTAGCTGGGCATGGTGGCACGCACCTGTGGTGCTACTTGTGAAGCTGAGGCAGAAGAATCCTTTGAACCCAGGTGGCGGAGGTTGCAGTGAGCTGAGATTGTACCACTGCACTCCAGCCTGGTGACAGAGTAAGACTCTATCTCAAAGTATGTAAATAAAGTAAAATTAAAATACATGACTATAATAACATACAAGTTTGGACGAGAAGAGAAATGAACTTCAAGTTGTCAGAGGTCTTAGTAATGTCCAAGAGAAGAATAAAGATATAGATTGAATGTCCCTGATCCAAAAATGCTTCAAAATCTAGAACATTTTGAGCACCAATGTGACGCGCAAGGGGAGTATTTTGGATTTCGATTTTCGGATGAGGGCTTCTCAGCCTGTATAGTGAACTTCAGCTTGTGATAAATTAGATATGCATGTTGGAATGTTTTGTGCAACTACTAAAGGAATAGAAACAAAGCATGTAGGTTCCAATTTCAAACAGAAGGAAAAAATAGAAAACTAAAAATAGAAGTTATTCATAAATAAGAAAGAAAATGAAATTGGGCTACTATGTCATACTGTACTTAAAAGCAATTTCAGGTAAATTATAAGCCTAAATATGAGAAAATAATACCTGAAAGCATTTAGGGTCACAATAATGGAAACTTCTTTCATGATATTAGTGTAGGAAATAAGTTTTTAAAAGAACACAAAAGATTTAAATTAATGTAAATTATGACTTGATTTATTATTTTAAATTATACAGAAAAGCTACTAGTGTCTAGATGAATATAAAATTTCTCTAAATCAATGAGAAAACCATATGTCTCCATTGAAAATAGTTGCAGAAGAATTGCACATACACTTCACAATTGAGGAAATATAAATGGCTAAAAGGCGTGAATATATGGTCAACTTCATTAATTATCAGAAAACTCCAAATGGAAATCACACTTACTGTTTCAAAACTACCATACCAAGAAAAGTAAAGTGCTCACAATATTAAGTGGTGAGAAGTGTAGAGCAAGGTAATTCTCATGTATTGTTGGAGTGTGAACTAGTATACACATATTGGAAAAAAGTTTGGTTATATAAAAGTTTAAGACATGAGTAGACTGCACCCAGCAGTTCTACTCCCAAGTACTTTTCTGGAGCAAATCTTGCACATTTGCACTAAAATACATGTATAAAGGTGTTCATAATAGCACTTGTTCATGGAAATGCCAAATGAGTAGTCCGTAGCAAAGGAAATGAACTTACAGCTAAATGCAATTCATGGGTAATCTTAACCACATAATGGTGAGCAAAGGAAACATAACACAAAATAATGCATATAGTATGGTACAATATTTTGGGTAAACATGGACAAAATTAAATCGGTTACAGTTGAATATTTAAGTCCTAAGTAGTGAAATCATTTTTTTTTAAGCAGGAAAATGATTTTCACCAGTCAGGTTTGTTTATGGGAACCTCCAGGAGGGGAAAGAAGGATTGTGATCAGACAGCCACATGCAAAAAGCATCTAGAATGCTGGAAATGTTAGATATTATTGAATTAGTTGGTGGTTACAGAGGTGTTCACTTTATACTTATTAAATTGTGCATACTTATATATACTTTATGGTTACCTGTGTCACATTTTAAAAATATAAAAAATTTTTTAAAAAAATTAAAATCAAACATTTATCCAAAATATATAGAGAAATGAGTTTTTCAGGCTTAGGATTCATAAAATAAATAACACATATACAATACCCCGAGTTAGATTTAAGAATGTAAAAATATTAAACTTGTATTAAAAAAGGTAATAAATAATTTGGTACAATACTTATGGCAAACTTAGCAAAATTAAATATCTCTCTAATATCAACAATCCTTATGATTTGATTTTTAAAACCCTATAGGCAAATTATATGTGTATCATTTGTATATAACTATATAAAAATACATATATATCTGAGCTCCAAAATGAAGCCATTTGAAATTTTATATAACATTGAGGAACAAATTAAGTAAATGTATAAAATAATTATCCTTTTTATAAATTAATGCAGCAAATTAAAACTAGTTGGCATTTTTTTGTACACACCATTAGCACTGGGAAAATTAGTGATGGTGCCAATTGTGTCAAGATGCAATCTTGTAGACGTCATTTGTATTTATGTGAATTATCATCTGGAAAAGCATAATTTATCAAGGATCATAAAATGTTTACAACCTATGATAGAGTAAATCTATTTGTTAGAGTTTTTCTAGGAAATCAATTCAAATTATGAAAAAAGTTTTAGGTACATAAAGATAATGATTTCAGCATAATTCATCATGATAAACAATGGAAGGCAACTAATAGTAACAGTCAAGGGATATTTGCAATAACTATATATTTCATTAAATTTCATTCACTAAATTAATGTTTTGAGCAATCACATGGCATCATATGTGTGTATATGTGTATGACATCACAAGATAGAAAATTATTTAGTCACTAAATATTAGTGAGCCTATACAATTTTATCTATATATGTGTGCATGTGTGTGTTATATATATATTAGATATAGTATGGTAGAAAAGATAGAAAATTGTTTGCACACTAAGATTAGACCCTTATGAAATATGCATAGAAATACTCATATACATAAGGATTATAGCTAGAGCCATGGTTTAACATCCACAGAAAAATAGAGGCTTGGGAAACACAAAAATGCAAATACTGTTAATGTCAGGCTATAATCATTGTGAATGATTTTTCCCTCATATATGTTTTAGGGTGCTTCAGTGTTATTGTTATTCTATAATAGAAAATTAACAATAAAAATTACAAAGATCTAAATTTGCGATTTTGTTCCATCTTGCAGAACATTCCCTTTCACATTCATTTTTGTAAGACCTAACAGTACAATTTACTATTAAGACATAGGGCATTTGTTTGTTCGTTTGTTTATTTATCTTAGAGGGGGTCTTGTTCTGTCACCAGGCTGGAGTGCACTGGCCCAATCTTGGCTTCCTGCAACCTCCACCTCCTGAGTTCAAGTGATTCTTCCTCCTCAGAGTATCTGGGACCCCAGGCAAGTGCCACCGAGCTTGGCTAATATTTTATCTTTTTAGTAGAGACGAGGTTTCACCATGTTGGCCGGGGTGGTCTTGATCTCTTGACCTCGTGATCCATCGGTCTTGGCCTCCCAAAGTGCTGGGATTACAGGACTGAGCCAGCTCACCCAGCCTTTATTTACTTATTTACAAAGTTTCTGATTTATTTACTTAGAGACAGGAAGGCCAGCTTGCATTTATTTATTTATGTTTTAATTAATTTATTTAATTATTTTTACCTTTTTTTAAAAAAATAGACACAAGGATTGTTTCACCATCTCGGCCAGGCTGGTCTCAATGTCCTGACCTCAGGTGATACAGCCAGCTCAGGCTCCCAATGGGTGGGGTATTAAAAACATGAGCCACCAAGTGGGGCTGCTTATTTATTGATTTATTTATCTATTGATTTATTTGGAGGCAGACTTGCAGTTATTTATTTATTTATTTGCTGGTGTGGAGAAGCAGGCCGAATTTATTTATTTAAGTATTTGGAGGCAGACTTGGATTTATGTATTTATCTAGCTTGCTAGCTGATTATTTAGAGGCGGGCTCACATTTACTCATTTATTTTATTTAGACCCAGGCTCACAACATTATTTTTATACTTTGTGTGCAGGCTTGCATTTATTCATTTTCTTAACTATCTGTATAATGATTTAGAGGCAGTCTTGCATGTATTTACTTATTTATTTATTATTTACTTTTCTTTCTTCTTTTCATTTAAAGATGGGGTTTCACCATATTTGTCAGGTGGGTCATGAACTCTCGCCCTCAGGTGATCCGCCCGCCTTTGCCTCCAAAGTGCTTGGATTACAGGCATGAGCCACTATGACTGGCTTATTTGTTTATTTTAGACGGATTCCGGCTTTGTCACCAGGCTGGAGTGCGCTGGCCCAATCTTGGCTTACTGCAGCCTCCACCTCCTGGGTTCAAGCATTCTTCCTCCTCAGCGGAGTATCTGGGACCACAGGTAAGTGCCATTGTGCCTGCCTAATATTTTTCTATTTTTAGTAGAGGCGAGGTTTCACCATGTTGGCCAGGATGGTCTTGATCTCTTGACCTTGTGATCTGCCCGTCTCTGCCTCCCAAGGTGATGGGATTACAGGCTCCTGCCATGATGCCTGGCTAATTTATTGTATTTTTAGTACAGATGGGGTTTCACCATGTTGTCCGGGCTGGTCTGAAAGTTGTGACCTTAGGTGATCCACCCATCTCGGCCTTTGAACATGCTAGGATTACAGGCATGAGCCAGGCAGTTTTCTAAGTTGTAAAATTATACTATTTACCCCTAGCACCAAGATTGTAGTCTCAATATAGTCTCAAAATACCATTGCCCAATGAAAGAAAAGAAGCCTTCTTGGAGAAAGTGCTGATTTTAGGTCTAGGCCAGAAATGTGTAAGGAGCCTGGAACATATTGTCACTCCAGATAGCAAAGAATCCATTAGGATGATTTCAACATGTCTGAAGGGCCAATCTGAAGGGACTCCTAACCAAAGATAGGACATTTTATACATTAATAAGGATAATAGTTGCAGTGAATTGAGATATATCAGATATGTTTGAATATCTGCATTCATAATGATCCTTTTGAAAAATAAAAGTGGACTGGCACAGTTCCTCATGCCTGTAATTTCAACACTCCAGGAGGCTGAGTTAGGAGGATCACTTCATCCAGCAGTTTAAGACCAGCCTGTGCAACATAGGGGGACTCTGTCTCTACAAAACATTTTTTAAATTACTCAAGTATGAGGGCATGTGTCTTTGGTCCCAGCTACTCAGAAAGCTGAGATGGGAGGGTCACCTGAGCCTAGAAGTTTGAGGCTATAGTGGCATGACTGCTTCTCTGCATACCAGCCCGGGCAACAGAGCTAGACCCTCCCTGTCTATAAATAAATACAAGTGGTCACCATTGAAGGATATAAATGAAACAGCTGAAAAATGGTTAAGCAGAAGAAATCAAGCCATGAACTGGCATTTTCTATATAAGTTGTACAAGTGAGTAACACAGTTTATTAGAAGCAGCATCTCTTTTTTACATCTGCTTCATTTTTTTCTTCATGCAAGGCCCTTCAGGTAGCAGTATCTCTTTCTGGAAGTATGGCAGCTCATAAATGAAGAAGGAATGATACAACAATACCTTCATTGTTCAATCCATAATTGATCAATGGCCATTAACATCACCAATTAAAAAAAAAGATGTCCAGAAACTACACAACTCCTCCCAGAAGAAACTAGCACAGTCTTTGCCCTGACCCTCAAGTCCAACCTGAATCTCACCACGTCTTTAGATCAAACTACTAATTTATCAAAGCTAGAACAAAGTGAAGAGCAAGTTAACCAACATCACAAGATACAATTAGCAAAATTCACAGTATGAGAAACAGCATAATAACACATTTAGCATAATCCAAACTATGGGGAAATGTATTCAATAAATGGACTGCAAGGGACAGCACAGAGATCAAAGTGGGAAGTTGTCAGGATCAAGAAAACCCTAAGAGGTGAATCAAACAATCCCAAGGAGAGACTTTATTTGGATCCTGATTCACACAATAAATACATGAAATGACTGGAAATTTGGAGCTAGAAGGAGAGTTGACAGTGATAAAGAGCAATGGTGTGAGATGGTTGGTTGATGATGGTATTGGGATTATTATATTTTTTAAAGAGTTCTTGTCTCCAGGCATGGCGCTTCACACCTATAATCTCAGTAGTGTCGGAGGTCAAGATGGGAAGATCCTTTGAATCCAGGAATTCTAGGCCAGCCTGGGCAACATAGCAAGACCCTGTCTCTACTAAAATACAAATTAAAAAATTAGCTTGGCATGGTGGTGTGAGTCTGTAGTTGCAGCTACTCAGGAAGCTGAGGCAGGAGAGGCCACAGTGAACCAAGATCATGCCACTGAACTCCAGAGACCTTATCTTGAAAGAACAAACAAGAATCGTATCTTTTACAGACATATACCAAGAGAGTCAGGGAGGAAATTATATGATGTGTGGGATTTGCTATAAAATCATGAGAGGGAGAGGAGAAGCATGTAGGAGTATACATGTAACGAGATTGGCCATCAGATAACAAGTATCTAAATCTGCTGCCGAGTAGGTGAAAGTCACCACACTAGCCTCTTGTTCCAAAAAGCTCGAATAGAAAGTTTGCATAAAAATTCACTTCGTGGATTTGTAACAAGCATTGAATAAGATCGTGTATGCAGAGTGTTTTATCACCATGGCTTGCAGGTAGTCAGCACACAAACATTGTTTTTAGTTTTGTATAGTCCCTGCCCATTAATCACACCCACAAAAGGTATGTTGTTCACACCAAGAGCTCTGGCCCATGGACTTTTGTCCACTTGGTGGTAATTTATTGGAATTTGAGGTTTAGAATGAGGAAATACCAGCCTGCCTACTATGAAATAGCAAAGCCAATGGTCCCAGATGCCTTCGTAGCACACCTAGTAAGTAGGACCATTTTCTCTCACCTTGTAGGCACACTTGAGTTCATTCACTTATTTTTCATTCATTTCTCATATGCCATGTATTGGGTGCTAGGGATCCGTAATACAGCTGGCCCCTAATTGAATGAAAGCATCACTTTCAAAGCATCACTGCAGGATGAGTATTTTGTGTCAAGTGGATTCAAGGAACAGTGCGAAGGATCCATGGCCTCAGTCGTGAAGACCCTCCCAAGAGCCAACTGTCCTGGGCACATATAAATGAGTGGAGACATGGAACTCACCCTTACAAGGCCTAGAACCCGACAGAGCATACAAGACTGAAGCCCAGATAACCAAGAACAGGAAGCTGAAGGTGAGAGGTGGGCCGCAAAGGATTCTGTGAAAATGCTTTGTGTTTGTGGATTTATCATGCAGAATGAAACCTTTGTTTTTATTACACTCTCTATATAGAATCTATGAAGGGACATTTCTGGGTTTTCTGAGGCCTATGGTGAAAAATGGAGTATCTCAGGCCACTCAGGATGAATAATGCAGTCACCAAGAGGGGCAGGGTGGCCAGCAGCAGGGATGGGCATTGTGAGCCTTTGGGTGGGGTTGTGGGAAGTGGCATTGTGAGCCACTGGCCTGACTTTGTTGTTTCCTGGTAACCAGGTGACATAGGAGGCTTTGTGGGTAACAGGCATCAGCCAGGGCCAGCAGCCTTCAGTCAGAAGCTGGTAGTGGGAGGAGGAGGAGATTGTTGCATAGGTACACACATGGCAGTGTGATGTGCTGTCTTCCTCCCCATCACCTATATCTGGCATTTCTCCCCATGCTATCTTTTTCCAACTCCCCACCCCCTGCTGTCCTTCCCCTATTTCCCCACAATAGACCCCAGTGTGTAGTGCTCCCCTCCCTGTGTCCACGTGTTCTCATTGTTCTTTTTTGTTTTTTTTTTTTTTCTGATTTTGTGCATTGCTTTGTTTTGAAAGTCCCCTTATAGGTCACTATGGGGAACTTCCTAGGCCCCAGGGCTGGCCTCATTTGTGCCTGGTGCCGGGAGGCAGTGGCGTCATGTTGTGGGACTCAGTCTGTGGCAGCTACACCACCAGAATCCACGACTGCAGAGCCTGACTTTGTATATGCCGGAGTGGTGGAGGTCCAGCATGTGCAGCCCAAGTCAAAGCGGCGCAAAGGTAAGGAAGCCACAGGTGCCATTTTCTTTCTGGCCACCACCTCCCCCACCTCCTTCCCATCCCCTCACCCCAGAGACATCCTCAGCTCTCAGCTCCCTCCTGCCTATAGCCAGCTTTCCCAGGGCTGGGCATGGGGGACAAAGGCTAGTCCCGCCTCTTGTCTTTGTTGTTGAGCCTTCTTGCTTGAGGCATTTTGGGTCTAGTCTTTCCCTTTCCCCAGTGAAAATTCAGATACTCCAGTTTTGGAGTCTCCATCCCATTCTTCTAGCCTTACCTATCCAGCTACTATGGTACCTCAGTGAAGGAGCCGGTTAAAGGCCCAATCATTTCTTTTCTCCTATTCGATAAGGAAGCTAATAATTGGGAAAATTCAGACTCAAATATTTGGAAAGTTCTTAAATTTAAAATAGAGCTATGGAAGAGATTATATGGTGTTCTTAAGAGATGGTTTGAAGTCACCTTGACAGAAGCAGCTTTACTTCTTCCAATTGTAATTTGAAAACCAAAGGAAAAATTGAGGGACATGCTTAAAATGACAGCAAAAGATATGAAATGTTACTGCCAGAGCTGTAGAAAAGTTGTTTTTGCTGTGGTTTTACCCAAAGTTTAGCCCTGGAGCTCTGATTACTTAAAAATTCCCACTTTGATGTGAATGTCTCTTCGGCACTACTCCAGTAACTTCATGGGCTTTACCTCCTTACCTTCTGAAAGACAGGTAGAGCTAGCTCATGGTTACAGGTTCCAAAAGAGATGAAATGACTTTTGTGACTTGAATTTGTAAGGTAAAGACTTGAGAGTTAGAAGGCCAGACACTGCCGGTGGAAAAGAGTTTGTTTTCATGGCTCCCCTTCCTACAGGATGGGAAAGGGGAGGAGAGAGGAAGCATTTCATTTTTTTGCTGTGGTCAAATTGAAGACAAAAACTAACACTTGTAAGATGGGAGAGGAGCATTTAGTTACAAAATCAGTCAAACATTTGTGTATCACTACATTTTTTGAGCAAATGAAAGCTCCCAGACTCAGAAAACCAGAGATGCTAATGGAACTGACATTAGTAATCAAGGTTTTCTACTGAGTTCAGTGCCCAGGGTGACTTCCAATAACAACCACCCTTCCCTCCACAAACTTTTCTCATGATTGGAAAGCTCAGGCAGCCCAGGATGAATAATGCAGTCACATGGGGGAAATGGTGACCACAGGTGGGCAGCAGCAGGGATGGGCATTGTGAGCCATTGGGTGGGGCTCTGGGGCAGGGCACTGGGTGGGGCTCTGGGGCAGGGCATTGTGAGCCATTGGGTGGGGCTCTGGGGCAGGGCATTGTGAGCCATTGGGTGGGGCTCTGGGGCAGGGCACTGTGAGCCATTGGGTGGGGCTGTGGGGCAGGGCATTGTGAGCCATTGGGTGGGGCTCTGGGGCAGGGCATTGTGAGCCATTGGGTGGGGCTCTGGGGCAGGGCATTGAGAGCCATTGGGTGGGGCTCTGGGGCAGGGCACTGTGAGCCATTGGGTGGGGCTCTGGGGCAGGGCATTGTGAGCCATTGGGTGGGGCTCTGGGGCAGGGCATTGTGAGCCATTGGGTGGGGCTCTGGGGCAGGGCATTGTGAGCCAGTAGCCTGACTTGGTTGTTTCCTGGTAACCAGGTGACATAGGCTTTTTGGGTGACAGGCATCAACCAGGGCCAGCAGCCTTCAGTCTAAAATCCTTTAGGATTTTAGAAATAGATGAATCTAGCAACAGATAATTCTGGGTAACCAGTTCAAAGACTAAGTCCACTGAAATAGAAAACATTATATCATAAAGACATAGAAATATGATCAGCTCATTTCTTTCATTTTAATGGCAGAGATTTTATTAGTATGGAGAAAATGTCTTACAGGTCTTGTGTTTAAACTTCAGTTTGGCTCTTACCTTCTTTCACAGAATAATTAAGCCTCATGATGGGTGTGCCTTTGTAACAAGGAAGTGCTGTACTCCCTTTTCAGAGTATTGAAAAATTGTGAAAGAATAAATAATTATGAGACTTAATAGATTGTACCTTATACACAAAGCATGCAAGTACCTGTGGAAACTCCTTGCTTGGTGGTGTATGGCAAGCCTCTGTGTGATATTCTGTCTGATTTGGCAGATGAGGTAGTGAGAGAACAAAGTGAGCCTTTTCCTTATTCTTTAGGATGTAAAACATGTTTTCCTGTACATCTTACTGGAAGCTTCCAAATACAAATAAGACCTGTGTATATTCTAGCTATGAGGGAAGGCTTAGAGATCTGAAGGGACTGTGTGAGACGGCTGCTGAACAGGACTGAGGTTCTAAGTCATCAAAGTAGACATTGGAGGTCGTAGTGATGCCAAACTCAGTTCTTAAAGAACTTGACAGACTCCAGAATGTCTTATATTTTAAGGTCTACCCATAACATAGACCTCTCTTAGAACTTTCATCTTGATTAGTTCTTTTTGCATTTTATTTTACACATTTACCTCTCCGTTTTTCCTCCTAAAGAGATGGGTCCTCACTGTGGGCACAGAGCCCAGGCTTCTGACTCCTGGCCTGGGCTCAAGCACTCCTGCTGCCTCAGCCTGTAGGAAAGCTGACAATACAGGCATGTGCCATCTCTCCTGGCTCTACCTTCTGTCCATACATTTATTGAAATAGATAAGGATAAAAGTAGGGGTAACAAAATGGCCTGCATTTACCAGTCAAATCAACAGTTTAATAAATGTGGAAGAGTTTCATCTGCTAAGCTGAGAATGCCCTGGTCAGGAGAAAGGAGAAGCTGGCAGGAGGGCAAGCAAGGCCCCGAGTAAGAAATGTTAAGTCAGAGCAGTTGAAGAAAAAATAGTTTGTGAGCACAGAATTTACCATCTTATGTGTATGTGCATGACAGTAAGTTTCTATATGTCTCTTCAAACGTGTTTTTGTGGTATTCAGTAAAGGGATAACAGAAACCTCAATTTCAGTGTTCATTCTTTGGCCAGGCACAGTAGCTCATGCCTGTAATCTCAGCATTTTGGGAGGCCGAGGTGGGCAGATTACCTGAGGTCAGGAGTTTGGGACCAGCCTGGCCAACATGATGCAACCCCTTCTCTACTAAGTATACAAAAACTTAGCCAGGCATGGTGGCACATACCTGTAATCCCAGCTACCTGGGATGCTGAGGCAGGAGAATCACTTGAATCCGGGAGTTGCAGGTTGCAGTGAGCCGAGATCCCGCCAGTACAAAATGAAAGAAACATGTTCAGAACACTCAATATAAAGTATAGACACATTCAAAGTTTGTTAATATCTTCATTTCAGAAAATTGTGTATCACGTTTTTTGGAAAATGATAAATTCCTACTTAGATGTGAAACATTTTAGCCTTTCTATAATGACGATTGATTTCTTTTGGTAACTTAGACAAATATCACAGCAACCAGTGCTCCAACCATTCTGTGGCACACTAAGCAGTTATTTAAAGGCATCAGGCAGAGCAGGGCGCACTGCTGTAGAAAGACATCCTGGAGTGCTCTCTAGGTGGCAAGTCCTGTTTCAGGAACTTATGCCATAAATAATGCTCTGCTTCATTGTTCTCTTCTGAAATACTTCAAAAGAACATTGTGTCTTGAAGCCATTTCAAAGAGAAGCTCTAAGAACCCAGTTTAGATCTCAGACTCAAACATGTTTTGTCCTATCATGCCTTTATTTAGCAGTATATCTAATATGAGTAACAGATTAAGATAGTAGGAGCTCATTATTCAATTTTATCACTACCCATCGACTTTTCATGCAGCCTTTTGTGTTCTTACCATAGGAATGCTGCTGGTTTGTTGGCTCTCTCAAGTGAGGGGTCAGGGAAGGGAAAGCATGGGCATATGATGTAGAGACCTCTGAGCAGCAGGTCTTTCAGCTTTCTAGTACCTATTTTGAACCCTCCTTTTAAAATAACTATCAGTATGTTTCATGTAAAAGATGTAGAAAATAAAGAAAAGTTATTTATTACACTCAGAATACCCATAGATCACTTGTGTTACAGTTTGAGCACTGTTTTTCTGGAAATTATTGCTATGCATTTGAATATAATATTTTATTTCACAAACTTTTTTGTAAAATAAAACTTTCTGATTATTTTATATGTGCTGCCTTGTAACTTTTACTTAAAGCAGTGAGATAATGGCGTAAGTTTCTCAAACAGTACTTGACACCCAGAGAGCTTTGCCTGCCAGGGCACCCTGCTCTACCTGATGACTTTGAATAACTGCTTAGTGTACTACGGACTGGTTAAAGCACTATTTATTTACCTACCCCTTGCGATTGGCCGTCTTTTTTCGTAAAGTCAGAAACAGTCCTGTCATGTTTGATTCAGAACACACATAAAGCACATTTTGATGACAGGTGCGTGATATCTTGTTATAAAATTCAGATAATATATTTTTTCTAGTGACATAATTAAATGGATGAAATGAGTCACTTTGTATTTAAGGTATTTTAGTGTTAAATATACTTGTGTCAAATTGCAGTTACCATTGACTTTTAGACATTAACATTCTTCATTTATATTTTTGTGGATCTTGATAGCTTGTGTCTTTAATGCTAAATAGCTACCAGTTTTAAAAATCCGATGCTGTCTTAGATGATAAAACAAAAGAAAACTTTAGCAGATCTGGGAGAATTGGGAGAAACTTAACTAGTTTGGGGTAAAATGAAATATATCGAGCAGTTTCAAATGGCCTGGCAGTGTTGCAGATGCAGGGCCAACAGTGGAACACAACAGAGAGCCCCATTCTAAGTCTGACCCTTACATTCGATAGGGAAGTAAGGGCAGCCAGCACATGAATAGTCAAGAATGGCAGGTGGTGACGTGCTGGGAAGAAAGTAAAGCAGGGTGATGGATTAAAGAGGAGGGCAGTTTGATGGAGGGTTGGCGCTAAGAGCAGGATGTTCTCTTTAAGTGACATGTGAACAGTCTTAAAAGTGAAATGGGCTGGGTATAGTGGCTCCCACCTTTAATCCCAGTACTTTGGAAAGCCAGGATGAGGGGATTCCTTGAGGCTGGAAGTTTAAGACCAGCCTGGCCAACACAGAGACACCCCATCTTATTTAGTTTTAAAAATAAAAAAGTGAGGGGAACCCTGTGAGGATGGTGGGAGAGGGCTTCCAGAGAGGGATATCCGCTTTGGAATTCCTGAAATGGAAAAAACTTTTGAAACAAAGTTTTAGGCAAAGGAGGGAAAGCCACAAGGGCAGCTGCAGCAGAGTAAAAGGATGCTGGGATGAATAAGGTGGGTGAAGACCTTGTACATGTAGTGAACACTCACAGAAAAGATGGACTTCAGTTGAGATGGAAAACCACTGGAGGATTATAGCCCAGGATTACTGTTAATTCTCTAAGAAAAAGACTGAGCAGCAGCTCTGTGAATATGCTGTAATACAGGCAAGGGTGGAAGCAGGAAGAGCAGCTAGGAGACTGGTGGAGTAGTTCAGGTGAGAGCTGACAGTGAAGAGAAAAACAACAATGACGTGAAAGAGGTGGACTTGAGAAAAATCAAGTGACACTAAAAGTGGATAATAAAGTGGTAAATAGACAAGTCACAGAAAAAGAAATACAGGTGATTTTTAAACACATCTTCACTCATAAAAGAAAGGCAAATGACAGCTCTACTGCAGGGTCTCTCCATGGCAGAACGTTCCTTGGTGTGGCTGTGAGGAAAGTTGCATTCATGTATTGCTGGTAGAAATGCAAAAAGACTCAACTCCATGAAGGGGAATTTGGCACAATCTCACAACCGTGAAAATGCATTTGAACCAGACATCCTACTTTGAGGAATTTTATCCTGAAGTTATGCTCCGTAAATATAAAACAAACTATTTGCAGAGTTCTTGTTGCATTATTTTCAATAGTTAAATATTGGAAATAACTGGCATGCCTAGTAAGGGACTAGTAAAATAAGCTGGTACTTGTACATAAAGGAGAAGTATGAAGCTGTGAAAAAGAGTAAGATGTCTTTTTATTGCTGTGGAGTGATTCCCAAGAATAGGGTACTCAGAAAAGCCAAAAGGAGAATGTGCAGTAATATACATGAAAGATAGCAGGAGAAATAATGGTATTTCATTATTTAAAAATAAAAGATAACGTTGGGGAAGTCTTGATGACCTGTTCACTGGGTAGCCAAAGTGCATAGTTTCTCAAAATATTATTTTGCTATGGGTTCTGCAAAGGATGTTAAGTGTGCACTTTTCGCCTTTGAGTTAGAGAAAGCTTTGGTTTGTAATCTATTGTGCCTTGTGTAGTATACAGACTGCTCTTTGATTTTATTCTATCCTCTCAATGTTTTGAGTTAGGTGTAATATGGGAATTATACTTGTGTTACATATGAGGAGGCTGGTTCTAAGAAGAAGACGGAGTAGATCAGGAATGTAAATTCTAGATATATGGCATATAAAACTAGAATCTATAAAAAGGCATGCATATGGCCTGCTATAAATACTACCTTGTCTAAAAAACTTTCTAAAGCTTACTAAAGCAATCAAGCCTCAGGATGAAAACAGCAATATTAGATAATGAGAAACAAAATGGGGATACGTGTAACACAGTAATGCTTTTATTTTGAAGAGACAGGGTCTTGCTTTGTTACCCCGGCTGGAGTACAGGATCATAGCTCACTGCAGCCTCAATCTTCTAGGCTCAAATGATCTTCCCACAACAGGCTTCCATGTAGCTAGGGATACAAGGGCTCACCACCACATCCTATCACATTTAGAAGCTTTTTGTAGAATTGACGTCTCACTGTGTTGCCCAGGTTGGTCTTAAACTTCTGACCTTAAGCTAATTCTCCTGCCTCAGCCTCTAAAAATGTCAGGATTATAGCCATGGGCCAGCACACCTAGCCCAGAAACGTTCCTAAAAAGTCTGAAAAAAATAAGTTAAATTTTATTAAGAAATATATAAAAGATAAACATATAGTATGGTATATGAAATGTCACAGTTCAGTCATGGTCACTACAACAGTGATTAAAATATCCAACAGTTGAGGCAAGTCTGAGAACTGAGAGGGACATACAGGATTGGTTTGGAAGCCAGAATTAGGATTGTCAGAGCTGGGAAAGCAGAAGCAAGGCAAGAATGTGCCCAGGATCCTGTGGTATGCCACGTGCACAGGAGCGTGGCTCGCAGCAGCTCCATAGTATGCCATGTTCACAGGAGCGTGGCACGCAGCAGCTCCATAGTATGCCATGTTCACCGGAGTGGGGCACGCAGCAGCTCCATGGTATGCCGTGTGTTATTTTTTACATCAGGCCAGCTCTAGCCCAGCAGATGAGAATCACCTGATGGGTAGAAAGAGTGGGCTTAGGTAAAATCTCTGATCATGCATAACTGAGAGACTTAAAATGTTTGCCTTATGGGTCATCAAACTAATAAAAGTGACAACATGGGGATAATACAGTAGGTCAGTAAATGCGTTAAGCCACCTGCCACCTCTCCAGAGCTTCAACCATCCCACAGAAATGTTGGGGTAGCAGGATTTGACAAAGCTTGTGAGAAGAGCTCTCAGTCCAGGGTTCAGGGCATGATCTAGAGGACTCAGGTGTTCCAGGATCTCTATCCCCGTCTATCACTCCTCACTGCGGTGACACTGGGCAAGTCACTCAAAATGTCTGAGTCTTATTTCACTGAATTGGAAAATATGGGTTGTAGCCCCTTCCCTGCCTGTCCCTTGGGGCTGATGTGGGGATCAGGGAAATCACAGATCTCTGTCATGAGCTGGAAATCATGTGGCCATGGAAACTGTGACATCACTTTCCATCCTACTTTGCACAGGAGACATGCAGGCTTCCTCTCTGTATTCAACCACTACCATGTATCTGGATTATCCTTCTCGACATTGAATGATTGAACATTTTAGGGCATTTACAAAAAGAAAAGAGTCTTTTTAAGTCTTTATCTGCATTTCATTCTTTTAGGTGCTATAGACCTTAGTAGGTCTATAGCATAGATCTACTAACGTTTTTACATCTCAGAATAGGGAAGAGAGGCACAGATGGGTTCATATCCCTCTCCCAGGTATGTGCAGATTCTAAGTAGGATTTGAACACAGCCTATTCTTGGTAACTTGGATCTTCTGCTTTTCTATATTGTCTCATCTGAATAAATGTATCTGCCTGGACAAACAAATCTTCCTAGATCCCAGATCTAATTCAGGTAGCATTGAAAAGTAGTCGGTGAAAACTAGGATCAAAAGTTTAAACTGAATAAGTTTTTACTAATTTCAGCAAGATGTCAAGAGTTGTCTTTATTATAATACATTTCTACCTTGCAGGTTTGGCTGGCCGCGTGAGGAGCTGGGTACAAAAACGGAGGCGTAAAAAAATTTGCCCCACTGCAAATGAAGGTAGGGTGGAAATTATATCATTAAGTTGATTGAAGCAAACAATTCCAGTTTACTCATCCAGTGTCCCAGAGAAACTCAGTAAATGCTATGTGATGTTCTTCATTTATTTCATTTGTGCCCATTTAAATGCATTAAATTAATGGGTGATGCAACTACACAAGTAAAGTTACATTGGCAACTTAGAGTTTGGTTCTTTTTGTTTCTTTGTTTTTGTGAAAAGGTCGGTCTCATTTTCTCACCCAGGAGTGCACTGGTGCAATCACAGCTCATTGCAATCTTGACCTCCCCGTGTTCAGATGATCCTTCTACCTCAGCCTCCCAAGCAGATGGCTATAATGCACATGCTTTATACCAAGCTCTTTTTTTAAATTTTATTTTTTTTTTTGTAGAGACGGGGTTTCACAGTGTTGCTCAGGCTTGGTTCGCTTTTGATAGTAAAGGACATCTCAAATGTTTAGACATTTGCTTTCAGTTTGGGCAATTATGAATACAGAAATTACAAACCTTCTTGTGTCTTGTTTGGAAACACAATTTTAAAATGTAAGGAAATACTAAAATTATGGTTACTTGCTCGTACGGTAAGACCACGTTTCTTTGTAAAAATTTTGGTAGAATTTACCGGTGAAATCATCTGAAGGTAGTGTTTTTGTTCTTTTGAGAAGACACTAATTATTGATTCAATTTCTAATATAAATATAGGCCTATTCAGATGATTCATTTATCATGAGAAGACGTTTAACCTTCTGAAACAGATCCAAAAAGTTAGCTCATTTCATATAATGTTTCCAAGTGTGAGCACAGATGTGTTCACAACATTCCTTTATTATTATTTTTTGATTCAACTCGTCTTGAACTGATATTATTAGTACATCGTGACTTCCTTCTTTTCCTTTGAGGTTAGAAAAGGTAGAGGTTTATCAGCGTTATTGATCTTTTCAAAGAACTGGTTTTGTTGTTGTTGATTTTCTCTGATGATTTCCTGTTTTTATTCCATTAATTTCTGCAGTCGTTATTTATTTTTCCTCAATTCGAGATTATACTGCTGTTTTTCTTTCAATGCCCAAGGCGGAAGCTAGATTATGAATTTAGATTTGATTTTTCTCATTTTTGACACAGCATCATGAATGTTACTCACTAAATATAATATCATTGGAATGCACACTTAATAATTAAAATAATAAATATGTAAGCTTTTAAAATTTAAAAAATACAACAGGACAGATGATAAATGTAGCAGCAGGATATGTAGATCCACAGAAGTTAAATAATCCTGTAACGTTTCATAAAATGTTGGGATTTGCCTAGACCTTTACGTGGGCAGCAGGTGTGATGAGATGCTCTCACTGAGCCATACAGTGCCGTTCTGTATTAACCGGTTTGCAGACTATTTCACACTGATGAGGTTTCCCGAGCTAGAAAGCCAAGGCTCTTTCATTTCTTTCTTCCCCTCTCCTTTGCCTTCCTTCAGCACCAAGGAGAGTGGCCGAGCGGCAGCTCATTTCATGCTTGTCAACAGCCCCCATCCATACACTGCAGCTTCTGTCCACATCCCCCAAAACTTCTTGTGGGATTCCTCAGCATCACCAGTGTACTTACTGTCTCTCTGTGTTCTCCTAGCTCCTCTTCAAGACCAGAAGAAAACCTTAAAGAGACGTGAAAACCTTAAAGAGACATCACCTGACATAGTAAGATGCATTTCTTTGTCTTGAAGACAAATGTCTTTTGGGGGCTTCTAGAATATCAAGTGAGTATCATTTCTGACTGCCCTTGTGAATCAGGCCTCAGCTGTCATGGACTCTAGCTACCAGTCACTGGAATGTATGACCAACTGAAGCCTGATTGATGATGTCAGTCAGAAGATGACATCACTGAAAAACTAGTAGTGAGCGTATTTCTCAGTAGCAACATATTCTTCCTGAAAAATAATTTTGTATTTTTCAGCCAGCATAGATACTTGCTAAGTATTCCAAACACAGTGCATTTTCTGCAAGCATCCCTTGTTCTCCATTTGGGGCCTGTGACTTCATCACTGACATCTGGTTTTTGGTTTAGTTTAGTTTTGTTTTTGAGACACAGTCTCTCTGCCACCAGGCTACAGTGCAGTGGTGTGATCTCAGATCACTGCAGCGTCCTCCTACTGCATTCAAGCAATTCTCCTGCCTCAGCCTCCCGAGTAGCTGGGACTGAAGGTTCTCACCACCACCGTGCTAGTAGAGACGGGGTTTCACCATGTTGGCCAGGATGGTCTCAATCTCTTGCCCTCATGATCTGCCCGCCTCAGCCTCCCAACATGCTGGGATTACATGTGTGAGCCACCGTGCCCAGTCTGCCATCTGGTTTCCTAATGTCACAAGTGAATACAAGACCTGTGCCAATGGGACCCAGCATGATGTAATCCTCATGATGTTTCTTTTTCTCTTATTGCAGGAGAAACATGTCACCCAGTATTGCCACCGTACGTATTCTTTTCCTTTTAAACAGTTACCGAGACGTAGTTGACATGCAAACTAACTCACCCATTTAAATTAGGTGATTCAGTGTTTTCACTCTATTTACGGGGTTGTGCAACCATTGTTAGAGTCTAATTTTAGAAGCTTTTTTCCCCCCTCAGAAAACCCCCTTAGTAGTGACTCCTCTGCTTTTCCCAACCCCCCACACCGCTGGTTCTAGGCAGCCCTAATCTTCTTCCTGTTTCTGTAGCTTTCTGTATTAATCGGTTCTTCAAATGACGATTTCACATTGATGAGGCTGCCCCAGCTAGGAAGCCAAGGCTCTTTCATTTCTTTCTGCCCCTTTCCTTTTCCTTCCTTCAGCACCAAGGAAAATGGTCCAGCAGCAGCTGGGTCCATGCTTGTCAAACGCCCAGCTCCATGCACTCCACCCTGGTCCACATTTCCCAAAGCTCCTTGTGAGATTCCTCAGCAGCACCAATGCACTGACTGTCACTTCGTGTTCTCTTAGGTGCTGTTCAGGTCCCACAAGACCTCAGCCTGGAACACATCAAGGATGATGAGCCACCCCGTGATGTGGTGAGATGCATTTCTTTGTCTCAAAGAGAAATTTTTATTTCTGGGGCCTCTGGAATATCAAGTGAAGATTATTTTCGACTGCCATTGTGAATCAGACCTCAGTCGTCATGAACTCTAGCGACCAGTCAGTGGAGATTCTGACCACACTGAGGCCTGATTGCAAAAGATGGCATAACTCAGAATCTGGTCTTGTGCATGTTTCTCAGTAGCCACATTTTCTCCTTGAAAGATAATTTTGTACTTTTCAGCCAGCATAGATACCTGCTAAGTATTCCAAACCCACTGCATTTTCTGCAAGCATCCCGTGCTCTATTTGGGGCCTGTGACTTCATCACTGTTTGACATTTGGTTTTTTGCTTAGTTTAGTTTTGTTTTAGAGACAGAGTCTCTCTGTCACCAGGCTACAGTGCAGTGGTGTGATCTCAGAGCACTGCAGCGTCCTCCTACTGCTTTCAAGCAATTCTCCTGCCTCAGCCTCCCGAGTAGCTGGGACTGAAGGTTCTCACAACCACCATGCCGGGTTTCTTGTAGTTTGTAGTAGAGATGGCGTTTCACCATGCCGGGTTTTTTGAAGTTTTCAGTACAGACAGGGTTTCAGCATGTTGGCCAGGATGGCCTCAACCTCTTGCCCTCATGATCTGCCCGCCTCAGCCTCGCCAATGCTGGATTACATGAGTGAACCACCGCGCCCAGCCTGCCATCTGGTTATCTAACGTCACCAAGTGAATATTAGACCTGTGCCAGCAGGACCCAGAATGATGTCATCCTCATGGTGTTTCTTTTTCTCTTATTGCAGAAGAAGCCCACCGTTTGGTGTTACCGCCGTACGTATTCTTTTTCTTTTAAACAGTTACTGAGACGTAGTGCGTATGCAAACAAATTCACTTATTTAAAGTAGGTGATTCCGTGTTTTTACTCTATTTATAGGGTTGTGCGACCATTGTTAGAGTCTAATTTTAGAAGCTGTTTTTCCCCCTCAGAAAACCTGCTTAGTAGTGACTCCTCTGTTCTCCCCAAGCCCCCCACGCCACTGGTCCTAGGCAGCCCTAATCTACTTCCTCTTTCTGTACTACACTGCCTTTCTGTATTAACCGGTTCTTCAAATGACGATTTCACGTTGATGAGGTTGCCCTGTCTAGGAAGCCAGGCTCTTTCTTTCTGCCCCTCTCCTTTTCCTTCCTTCAGCACCAAGGAGAATGGTCCAGCAGCAGCTGGGTCCGTGCTTGTCAAACGCCCAGCTCCATACTCTCCAGCCCGGTCCACATTTCCGAAAGCCCCTGGTGAGATTCCTGAGCAGCACCAATGCACTGACCGTCACTCTGTGTTCTCTTAGGTCCCGTTGAAATCCCGCATGACCTCATATTAGAAGACATCGAGGATGAGGAGCTACCCCGTGACGAGGTAAGATGCATTTCTTTGTCTCAAAGAGAAATTTTTCTTTCTGGGGCCTCTGGAATATCAAGTGAATATCCTTTTTGACTGCCATTGTGAATCGGACCTCAGGTGTCGTGGAGTCCGGCGACCAGTCAGTGGAGTTTCTCACCAACTGAGGCCTGATTGACGATGTCAATCAAAAGATGGCATAGCTAACAATTTGGTTTGGGGCATATTTCTCAGTTGCAACGTTTTCTCCTTGAAATACAATTTCTTCAGCCAGCATAGATACCTGCTAAGTATTCCAAAGCCACTGCATTTTCTGCAAGCGCCCCCTGTGCTCCATTTGGGGCCTGTGACTTCAACACTCTTTGACATCTGGTTTTTTGTTTAGTTTAGTTTAGTTTTTGAGACAGAGTCTGTCTCCAGGCTACAGTGCAGTGGTGTGATCTCAGAGCACTGCAGCGTCCTCCTACTGCATTCAAGCAATTCTCCTGCTTCAGCCTCCCGAGTAGCTGGGACTGAAGGTTCTCGCCACCACCACGCCGGGTTTTTTGTAGTTTTTAGTACAGACGGCGTTTCACCATGTTGGCCAGGATGGCCTCAACCTCTTGCCCTCATGATCTGCCCGCCTCAGCCTCCCCACATGCTGGATTACATGCGTGAACCACCGCGCCCAGCCTGCCATCTGGTTATCTAACGTCACCAAGTGAATATTAGACCTGTGCCAGCGGGACCCAGCATGATTTATTGCAGGAGAAGCCCGCCGTTTCGTGTCACCGCCGTACGTATTCTTTTACTTTTAAACAGTTACTGAGACGTAGTGCGTATGCAAACAAATTCACTTATTTAAAGTAGGTGATTCCGTGTTTTTACTCTATTTATAGGGTTGTGCGACCATTGTTAGAGTCTAATTTTAGAAGCTATTTTTCCCCCTCAGAAAACCCGCTTAGTAGTGACTCCTCTGTTCTCCCCAACCTCCCACGCCCCTGGTCCTAGGCAGCCCTAATCTACTTCCTCTTTCTGTACTACACTGCCTTTCTTTATTAACCGGTTCTTCAAATGACGATTTCACGTTGATGAGGTTGCCCTGTCTAGGAAGCCAGGCTCTTTCATTTCTTTCTGCCTTTCTCCTTTTCCTTCCTTCAGCACCAAGGAGAATGGTCCAGCAGCAGCTGGGTCCGTGCTTGTCAAACGCCCAGCTCCATACCCTCCAGTCCGGTCCACATTAGATTCCTGAGCAGCACCAATGCACTGACCGTCACTCTGTGTTCTCTTAGGTCCCGTTGAGGTCCTGCAGGACCTCATATTAGAAGACATCGAGGATGAGGAGCTACCCCGTGACGAGGTAAGATGCATTTCTTTGTCTCAAAGAGAAATTTTTCTTTCTGGGGCCTCTGGAATATCAAGTGAATATCCTTTTTGACTGCCATTGTGAATCGGACCTCAGGTGTCGTGGAGTCCGGCGACCAGTCAGTGGAGTTTCTCACCAACTGAGGCCTGATTGACGATGTCAATCAAAAGATGGCATAGCTAACAATTTGGTTTGGGGCATATTTCTCAGTTGCAACGTTTTCTCCTTGAAATACAATTTCGTATTTTTCAGCCAGCATAGATACCTGCTAAGTATTCCAAAGCCACTGCATTTTCTGCAAGCGCCCCCTGTGCTCCATTTGGGGCCTGTGACTTCAACACTCTTTGTTTTTGAGACAGAGTCTTTCTGTCTCCAGGCTACAGTGCAGTGGTGTGATCTCAGAGCACTGCAGCGTCCTCCTACTGCATTCAAGCAATTCTCCTGCTTCAGCCTCCCGAGTAGCTGGGACTGAAGGTTCTCGCCACCACCACGCCGGGTTTTTTGTAGTTTTTAGTACAGACGGCGTTTCACCATGTTGGCCAGGATGGCCTCAACCTCTTGCCCTCATGATCTGCCCGCCTCAGCCTCCCCACATGCTGGATTACATGCGTGAACCACCGCGCCCAGCCTGCCATCTGGTTATCTAACGTCACCAAGTGAATATTAGACCTGTGCCAGCGGGACCCAGCATGATGTCATCCTCATGGTGTTTCTTTTTCTCTTATTGCAGGAGAAGCCCGCCGTTTCGTGTCACCGCCGTACGTATTCTTTTACTTTTAAACAGTTACCGAGACGTAGTGCGTATGCAAACAAATTCACTTATTTAAAGTAGGTGATTCTTACTCTATTTATAGGGTTGTGCGACCATTGTTAGAGTCTAATTTTAGAAGCTATTTTTCCCCCTCAGAAAACCCGCTTAGTAGTGACTCCTCTGTTCTCCCCAACCTCCCACGCCCCTGGTCCTAGGCAGCCCTAATCTACTTCCTCTTTCTGTACTACACTGCCTTTCTTTATTAACCGGTTCTTCAAATGACGATTTCACGTTGATGAGGTTGCCCTGTCTAGGAAGCCAGGCTCTTTCATTTCTTTCTGCCCCTCTCCTTTTCCTTCCTTCAGCACCAAGGAGAATGGTCCAGCAGCAGCTGGGTCCGTGCTTGTCAAACGCCCAGCTCCATACCCTCCAGTCCGGTCCACATTTCCCAAAGCCCCTGGTGAGATTCCTGAGCAGCACCAATGCACTGACCGTCACTCTGTGTTCTCTTAGGTCCCGTTGAGGTCCCGCAGGACCTCATACTAGAAGACATCGAGGATGATGAGCTACCCCGTGACGAGGTAAGGCATTTCTTTGTCTCAAAGAGAAATTTTTCTTTCTGGGGCCTCTGGAATATCAAGTGAATATCCTTTTTGACTGCCATTGTGAATCGGACCTCAGGTGTCGTGGAGTCCGGCGACCAGTCAGTGGAGTTTCTCACCAACTGAGGCCTGATTGACGATGTCAATCAAAAGATGGCATAGCTAACAATTTGGTTTGGGGCATATTTCTCAGTTGCAACGTTTTCTCCTTGAAATACAATTTCGTATTTTTCAGCCAGCATAGATACCTGCTAAGTATTCCAAAGCCACTGCATTTTCTGCAAGCGCCCCCTGTGCTCCATTTGGGGCCTGTGACTTCAACACTCTTTGACATCTGGTTTTTTGTTTAGTTTAGTTTAGTTTTTGAGACAGAGTCTTTCTGTCTCCAGGCTACAGTGCAGTGGTGTGATCTCAGAGCACTGCAGCGTCCTCCTACTGCATTCAAGCAATTCTCCTGCTTCAGCCTCCCGAGTAGCTGGGAAAGGTTCTCGCCACCACCACGCCGGGTTTTTTGTAGTTTTTAGTACAGACGGCGTTTCACCATGTTGGCCAGGATGGCCTCAACCTCTTGCCCTCATGATCTGCCCGCCTCAGCCTCCCCACATGCTGGATTACATGCGTGAACCACCGCGCCCAGCCTGCCATCTGGTTATCTAACGTCACCAAGTGAATATTAGACCTGTGCCAGCAGGACCCAGCATGATGTCATCCTCATGGTGTTTCTTTTTCTCTTATTGCAGGAGAAGCCCGCCGTTTCGTGTCACCGCCGTACGTATTCTTTTTCTTTGAAACAGTTACCGAGACGTAGTGCGTATGCAAACAAATTCACTTATTTAAAGTAGGTGATTCCGTGTTTTTATTCTATTTATAGGGTTGTGCGACCATTGTTAGAGTCTAATTTTAGAAGCTGTTTTTCCCCCTCAGAAAACCCGCTTAGTAGTGACTCCTCTGTTCTCCCCAACCCCCCACGCCCCAGGCAGCCCTAATCTACTTCCTCTTTCTGTACTACACTGCCTTTCTGTATTAACCGGTTCTTCAAATGATGATTTCAGGTTGATGAGGTTGCCCTGTCTAGGAAGCCAGGCTCTTTCATTTCTTTCTGCCCCTCTCCTTTTCCTTCCTTCAGCACCAAGGAGAATGGTCCAGCAGCAGCTGGGTCCGTGCTTGTCAAACGCCCAGCTCCATACCCTCCAGCCCGGTCCACATTTCCCAAAGCCCCTGGTGAGATTCCTGAGCAGCACCAATGCACTGACCGTCACTCTGTGTTCTCTTAGGTCCCGTTGAGGTCCTGCAGGACCTCATATTAGAAGACATCGAGGATGAGGAGCTACCCCGTGACGAGGTAAGATGCATTTCTTTGTCTCAAAGAGAAATTTTTCTTTCTGGGGCCTCTGGAATATCAAGTGAATATCCTTTTTGACTGCCATTGTGAATCGGACCTCAGGTGTCGTGGAGTCCGGCGACCAGTCAAGTTTCTCACCAACTGAGGCCTGATTGACGATGTCAATCAAAAGATGGCATAGCTAACAATTTGGTTTGGGGCATATTTCTCAGTTGCAACGTTTTCTCCTTGAAATACAATTTCGTATTTTTCAGCCAGCATAGATACCTGCTAAGTATTCCAAAGCCACTGCATTTTCTGCAAGCGCCCCCTGTTCTCCATTTGGGGCCTGTGACTTCAACACTCTTTGACATCTGGTTTTTTGTTTAGTTTAGTTTAGTTTTTGAGACAGAGTCTTTCTGTCTCCAGGCTACAGTGCAGTGGTGTGATCTCAGAGCACTGCAGCGTCCTCCTACTGCATTCAAGCAATTCTCCTGCTTCAGCCTCCCGAGTAGCTGGGACTGAAGGTTCTCGCCACCACCACGCCGGGTTTTTTTGTAGTTTTTAGTACAGACGGCGTTTCACCATGTTGGCCAGGATGGCCTCAACCTCTTGCCCTCATGATCTGCCCGCCTCAGCCTCCCCACCTGGATTACATGCGTGAACCACCGCGCCCAGCCTGCCATCTGGTTATCTAACGTCACCAAGTGAATATTAGACCTGTGCCAGCGGGACCCAGCATGATGTCATCCTCATGGTGTTTCTTTTTCTCTTATTGCAGGAGAAGCCCGCCGTTTCGTGTCACCGCCGTACGTATTCTTTTTCTTTTAAATAGTTACCGAGACGTAGTGCGTATGCAAACAAATTCACTTATTTAAAGTAGGTGATTCCGTGTTTTTACTCTATTTATAGGGTTGTGCGACCATTGTTAGAGTCTAATTTTAGAAGCTGTTTTTCCCCCTCAGAAAACCCGCTTAGTAGTGACTCCTCTGTTCTCCCCAACCCCCCACGCCCCTGGTCCTAGGCAGCCCTAATCTACTTCCTCTTTCTGTACTACACTGCCTTTCTGTATTAACCGGTTCTTCAAATGATGATTTCAGGTTGATGAGGTTGCCCTGTCTAGGAAGCCAGGCCTGCCCCTCTCCTTTTCCTTCCTTCAGCACCAAGGAGAATGGTCCAGCAGCAGCTGGGTCCGTGCTTGTCAAACGCCCAGCTCCATACCCTCCAGCCCGGTCCACATTTCCCAAAGCCCCTGGTGAGATTCCTGAGCAGCACCAATGCACTGACCGTCACTCTGTGTTCTCTTAGGTCCCGTTGAGGTCCCGCAGGACCTCATATTAGAAGACATCGAGGATGAGGAGCTACCCCGTGACGAGGTAAGATGCATTTCTTTGTCTCAAAGAGAAATTTTTCTTTCTGGGGCCTCTGGAATATCAAGTGAATATCCTTTTTGACTGCCATTGTGAATCGGACCTCAGGTGTCGTGGAGTCCGGCGACCAGTCAGTGGAGTTTCTCACCAACTGAGGCCTGATTGACGATGTCAATCAAAAGATGGCATAGCTAACAATTTGGTTTGGGGCATATTTCTCAGTTGCAACGTTTTCTCCTTGAAATACAATTTGCCAGCATAGATACCTGCTAAGTATTCCAAAGCCACTGCATTTTCTGCAAGCGCCCCCTGTGCTCCATTTGGGGCCTGTGACTTCAACACTCTTGACATCTGGTTTTTTGTTTAGTTTAGTTTAGTTTTTGAGACAGAGTCTGTCTCCAGGCTACAGTGCAGTGGTGTGATCTCAGAGCACTGCAGCGTCCTCCTACTGCATTCAAGCAATTCTCCTGCTTCAGCCTCCCGAGTAGCTGGGACTGAAGGTTCTCGCCACCACCACGCCGGGTTTTTTGTAGTTTTTAGTACAGACGGCGTTTCACCATGTTGGCCAGGATGGCCTCAACCTCTTGCCCTCATGATCTGCCCGCCTCAGCCTCCCCACATGCTGGATTACATGCGTGAACCACCGCGCCCAGCCTGCCATCTGGTTATCTAACGTCACCAAGTGAATATTAGACCTGTGCCAGCGGGACCCAGCATGATGTCATCCTCATGGTGTTTCTTTTTTGCAGGAGAAGCCCGCCGTTTCGTGTCACCGCCGTACGTATTCTTTTTCTTTTAAACAGTTACCGAGTACGTAGTGCGTATGCAAACAAATTCACTTATTTAAAGTAGGTGATTCCGTGTTTTTACTCTATTTATAGGGTTGTGCGACCATTGTTAGAGTCTAATTTTAGAAGCTATTTTTCCCCCTCAGAAAACCCGCTTAGTAGTGACTCCTCTGTTCTCCCCAACCTCCCACGCCCCTGGTCCTAGGCAGCCCTAATCTACTTCCTCTTTCTGTACTACACTGCCTTTCTTTATTAACCGGTTCTTCAAATGATGATTTCACGTTGATGAGGTTGCCCTGTCTAGGAAGCCAGGCTCTTTCATTTCTTTCTGCCCCTCTCCTTTTCCTTCCTTCAGCACCAAGGAGAATGGTCCAGCAGCAGCTGGGTCCGTGCTTGTCAAACGCCCAGCTCCATACCCTCCAGTCCGGTCCACATTTCCCAAAGCCCCTGGTCCTGAGCAGCACCAATGCACTGACCGTCACTCTGTGTTCTCTTAGGTCCCGTTGAGGTCCCGCAGGACCTCATACTAGAAGACATCGAGGATGATGAGCTACCCCGTGACGAGGTAAGATGCATTTCTTTGTCTCAAAGAGAAATTTTTCTTTCTGGGGCCTCTGGAATATCAAGTGAATATCCTTTTTGACTGCCATTGTGAATCGGACCTCAGGTGTCGTGGAGTCCGGCGACCAGTCAGTGGAGTTTCTCACCAACTGAGGCCTGATTGACTGATGTCAATCAAAAGATGGCATAGCTAACAATTTGGTTTGGGGCATATTTCTCAGTTGCAACGTTTTCTCCTTGAAATACAATTTCGTATTTTTCAGCCAGCATAGATTACCTGCTAAGTATTCCAAAGCCACTGCATTTTCTGCAAGCGCCCCCTGTGCTCCATTTGGGGCCTGTGACTTCAACACTCTTGACATCTGGTTTTTTGTTTAGTTTAGTTTAGTTTGAGACAGAGTCTCTCTGTCTCCAGGCTACAGTGCAGTGGTGTGATCTCAGAGCACTGCAGCGTCCTCCTACTGCATTCAAGCAATTCTCCTGCTTCAGCCTCCCGAGTAGCTGGGACTGAAGGTTCTCGCCACCACCACGCCGGGTTTTTTTGTAGTTTTTAGTACAGACGGCGTTTCACCATGTTGGCCAGGATGGCCTCAACCTCTTGCCCTCATGATCTGCCCGCCTCAGCCTCCCCACATGCTGGATTACATGCGTGAACCACCGCGCCCAGCCTGCCATCTGGTTATCTAACGTCACCAAGTGAATATTAGACCTGTGCCAGCGGGACCCAGCATGATGTCATCCTCATGGTGTTTCTTTTTCTCTTATTGCAGGAGAAGCCCGCCGTTTCGTGTCACCGCCGTACGTATTCTTTTTCTTTTAAACAGTTACCGAGACGTAGTGCGTATGCAAACAAATTCACTTATTTAAAGTAGGTGCTATTTATAGGGTTGTGCGACCATTGTTAGAGTCTAATTTTAGAAGCTTTTTTCCCCTCTCAGAAAACCCGCTTGGTAGTGACTCCTCTGTTTTTCCCCAACCCCCCATGCCCCTGGTCCTAGGCAGCCCTAATCTACTTTCTGTTTCTGTAGTACACTGCCTTTCTGTATTATACCGGTTCTTCAAATGACGATTTCACATTGATGAGGCTGCCCCAGCTAGGAAGCCAAGGCTCTTTCGTTCCTCTCTGCCCCTTTCCTTTTCCTTCTTTCAGCACCAAGGAAAATGGTCCAGCAGCAGCTGGGTCCATGCTTGTCAAACGACCAGCTGCATGCACTCCAGCCTGGTCCACATTTCTCAAAGCTCCTTGTGAGATTCCTGAGCATCACCAATGCACTGACTGTCACTCTGTGTTGTCTTAGGTCCTCTTGAAATCATCTTAGAGGATGACGAGGATGAGGACCTACCCCGTGATGTGGTGAGATGCATTTCTTTGTCAAATTTTTATTCCTGGGGCCTCTGGAATATCAAGCGAAGATCATTTTCGACTGCCATGGTGAATCACACCTCAGTTGTCGTGGACTCTAGCGACCAGTCAGTGGAGTTTCTCACCAACTGAAGCCTGATTGATGATGTCAGTCAAAAGATGGCATAACTTACAGTCTGGTCATGGGCCTATTTCTCAGTGGCAACATATTCTTTTTGAAAAATTATTTGGTATCTTTCAGCTGACATGGCCACTTGCTACATTTCCAAAACACCCCACTGTTTATTTCAGAGGCATCTTACATGCTTCATTTGGGCACCAGTGACATGTGGTTTTCTAATGTCACCATGATAAATATCTGCACCAACCGCACCCCGCATGTTAAGATGCTTTGTTTTTCTCTTGTTGCAGGACTCCGTGACAGCCCCAAATGACCTCCGTATGTATTCTTTTTCTCATAAAGTGCTTTATTGTCACAGAGTTGACATGCAAAACTATTCACTTGTTTAAAGTGGGTGATGTAGTGTTTTTACTATATTTACAGGGTTGTGCAGCCATTGTCACAATCTAAGTTTAGAATTTTTTAATTTCTCCTCAGAGAAATTCTAAAGCCATTAGTAGTCACTTCTCTTTTTCCCCAAGGCCCACACTTCTGGCCCTAGGTAGCCACTAAGGTACTTTCTAGATTTGCCTTCTCTGGCAATTTCTATTTTAAATCAAATTTGATTTTAAGTTATGGGATACATGTGCAGGATGTGCAGCTTTGTTATACAGCTAAAAGTGTGCATGGTTTGCTGCACCTGTCAACCCATCACCTAGGTATTAAGCCCCGCATACAATAGCTCTTTATTCTGATGCTCTCCCGTCCACTTCCCCCACTGTGTGTGTTGTTCCCCTCTCTAACATTGTACATATTCTAATACCACTTTCTTCCTAATGACACATCTTGGTGATAAGTCAGGGGTGATTTTCTTGCTTGCTTTTGTCTGGAGAACCTTTCTAGCTTCGGGTTCCCCTGATAGGTGTGAGGATCTCGGGTGTGCTGTGAGAAACAGATGTCTCCATGAAGAACTCAGCTCTAGACAGTGGAATCTCCATCATGCCCTATTGATTCTACTGTTGAAATAGGTTTTTGTTTCCTTCTGAAAACCTTCACACAGAGAGCCAAGGTAGCTGCTTTAAGTCATGATCAATGTTAAGTAGACCACATGATGGTTTGAGGGGTTTTTTTTTGGAGCATTCATTCTGTGAAGATGCTTTGCTTTTCAGTAAAATTTGATTGTCTTGTATGTGTCAGTATTTTCCCAATGGAACAAAAGAATGAAACTGTTTGGTTGTGCAATGTCACTTGTTCACCCCAGAAGTGATTTTCTCATGACCAGATTGTCCTTGACACCTTTAATCTTTAGACGAAGCTTCCCATTGGTGCTTTGGGGGCGCTGCTGTGTGTGAGTCAAGGAAAATATCAGTGTTACCAACATTGAGGTTCTCTGAATTCATGGACACCTGCTTAGTGGGGCTTCATGGGAGAGAGCAAGGGAGAGCCTCGTGCTAGACCTGAAGGGAAACATGATTTAGAGGATCAGAGGGGAAACAAATGAGAACATTAGGGACATTGTTAAAAGAGAATGTCAAGGTTGCAGTGTTAGGGGCATCCATTCAGCGTCATCACCGGGGCCCAGGCAGGATATGAGACCCCTTCTGGGGAGGAGTGAGTAGGACTTGGCCTTTCTCTCTGTCGAAAGCTTGATGTGAACATCACCCTAAATACCTTGAGAAAGGAGCTTTCTTCCTGACCCATGTCTTCTCCATCTCTTTGTGCGATGATGGCAATGATACCAACAGAGTGTCATTGCGGAGAGGGGCAGAACAGGAATCAGGTCCCCATTTTTTGACACGGAACAGACAGGACATGAGTCAGTAGGAATGGACCTCAGGGTCAGACCAGACACAGAGAGGTCCCAGGCCTGATCTTCCTGGGGCTGAGACAGACAAGTTTTTATTTTTCACCTCTTCTGGAATGGAAATCTCCTGAGGAATGATTCTTCAGTAGACCCTGTTGGCCAAGGGTCTTCTGGCCCAGAAATGCTTTTCAACTGGACAGAGTCTTCCAGCTTTTGGCCTGGGCAGCTGCAGCACTCCAAAGTAGTAGGGCAGGTAGGGAGGGACATGAGTTTCAGTGCAGGGTGATCTCAGCAAAGGGCTGGGGACTGATCCCAGACTCCAGGTCATCCTTGCAACTCTTCTGTGCAATCCATAACATCTCAGTTTCCACTTATTTTGGAGATGGTTAAAAATCTTCCACCTCAAAGTCTGAGTCTTCCCACAGGTGAATAGAGGAGCCCTGGCTATGGGTATTTACTCGCAGGGCAGTGACTGTGTCTTCCTCATTTGTTTTTACCCCAGAGCTCAGTCCTGGGACAGACACTTTTAGGCTCCATGGATGTTTTAATGAACACACCCCTGGGATGAGCTCTAGGTCACCCCTGGGCTGGGTTCTAGTGCAGGTGTGGAAATTCTCAGCCTGTTTAGCCACACACTCAACCTGGAGCCTGCCCAGCTTCTGAGTCAGGGTCTCTGGAGATAAGGGTGAGCTCCTGAAGACAGTGAGATGCCCCCACCCCTCTGATCCTGCTGCTCTGATCTAGTCTGGACAGGGTGTGCAGGGCCATGCTCTTCCACTGGGTGCAAGCGCATCCCTGCTGGAATCCCTCTGGACCTGGATGTTGTCCTCACTGTCATATCCTCAGCCCCACACAGTGACAGGCCCTTGTGCATATGTTCAGGAAGTAACCCTAAATGTGTGGTAAGATCAGAGCAGCACAGGATTCTGCAAAAAACACCAGGAGAGGGGAGTCGGGTCTTCCTCATGTCTGGATATCTGGAGCTGTCCCATCTAGTGTGCTTCTCAGTCATATATATACCTCTTTATACTTAAATAAATATATACAATGAAATATTCAAAACCTCATCACAACAGCCACCATGCGATTGTACATGGCCCAGCAGCTGTACATTACATCAGAGAGCATGTCCATCCCCACAGAATGCTGTCTTGCATGTCTGCTGTGAGCCTGGCCCAGGATCTGACTGTTGGACTCACGTCACTCAAAGCGTGCACATCAAAGTTGGGATCCTAGGGTTGTGTAATTGGAGGTGAGACTGATAATGGGCCAGTAGAAGGAAAAATGGAAAGGTGATTCCTTCAGCTTCTCTTTCTTACTTGAAGGCTGGAAAGTGTAAGCAATGCCTTGTTGAAAACCTCTGGCTCCACAGAGTCTGGAGAGAATCTGAGAACATGGAGGAAAGCTCAGGGTGATCTCGTGTAATCTAGTGTGGCCTCACCTGGAATAGGAGGGTGGGTGAGTCACTCTCCGAAATAACTTCTTGCTGAGATTTGTGTCTCTAAAGATTGGCCAGTTGACACCATCCATGAGGGAAGCTGCAATAGGACAATTTATGCAGGTAGAAAATGATACCCTAGGCCGGGTGCAGTGGCTCAGGTTATTAATCCCAGCACTTTGGGAGGCTGAGGTGGGCGGATCACGAGGTCAAGAGATCAAGACCATCCTGGGCAACATGGTGAAACTCCGTCTCTACTAAAACTACAAAAATTAGCTGGGCGTGGTGGTGTGTGCCTGTAGTCCCAGCTACTTAGGAGGCTGAGGCAGGAGAATTGCTTGAAACCAGGAGGCAGATATTGCAGTCAGTTAAGATCCCACCACTGCACTCCAGCCCGGTGCCTGGTTAGCAAGACTGTCTCAAACAAACAAAAACAAAAGTACTACCCTAGGAGTATTTCTGGGAGCAGTTGGGTTACACCCATTGCTTTGGAACCTAGGAAAGGGCTATGAAGCCAGAACCAAAAAAAAAAAAAAAAAAAAATAGCTGTAGAGGTCTGAATTATTTCTGTTGGATTTTAATAAGATAGAGATGAGAGGATGTGTGTCCATGGGCTTTGTGGGCTGCTTTTGTAACCATCGTTTCTTACTCTGGTATTTAATGATGACTTTTCCCAGGAGACCAGTTTTTCCTGCCTATGTCACAGCAAACATCTAAGCCTTGCTTTTTGATTGGTTAATATCTTTTGGGAATTGGGAATGCGAGAATATTATTAGGTCTTGGCATTGTCTAAGATGAAAGATATCTGGTGAGACTCCCTCACGGTACTATCTGAACATAGTTGTTTCTCTGAGATGGTCTCAGAATCTTCAGTCCCACACTCCATATGCCACACCCAGCAAAGCTCCTTGAGTTACTCACAGTCTACAGCCACCAGGGTACTGACTTTTACTCTGTCTCCCTCCAGCTCCTCCTGAGGATTGCAGGAGCCCCAAGTGTGAGGAAGATGGTGAGGTAAGAACCCCTTTTTCTGTCCTCTAAAGAATGCCCTGTCAGGTGGGGATTGGGGAGGGAGAGCATTAGGATAAATAGCTAATGGATGCGGGGCTTAAACCTAGGTGATGGGTTGATAGATGCAGCAAAGCACCATAGCACATGTTTACCTGTGTAATAAACCTGCACAGTCCTGCACATGCATCCTGGAACCTAAACTTCAGAAGAAAACGAAATGAAAAAAGAATTGTTTGTTTTCTGATTTCTTTCCTTCTGTTAATTGTGATAATGTGAGAAGGCACATTATGTCTGACATGTCCCATTCTCTTTTTGGGGTTGGAATTCAATGGGAGTGTCTTCCCATCAGATATGTAATATCTTAGAATGTTTTTAGATGACAGCATTCATTATCAACTGTAACGCAGAGGAATTTTCCTCAACACCAGTTTTCCTCTTTGGTTTAGGCATTGTGTATTTGCCAATGTAAATCGACTTCTAGATAAATTGTGGGAAAGGTCTTGTCTTTTCCACAGGTGTCCTCTATTCTAGCATGTTTGATTCTTGACCTTTGACTCAACCATTGTCTTACAACTAGTTTCCTGAAGTCATCAAAAGACTGACAGATCTGTGGGAGTGGGGGCGGGGGTGCAGGAGAATTCATCTGATCCTCATAGCATCTTGTTTTGTCTAATGTCTAATTGCAGGGTTCATCACTCGCTGTTGACGGTATGTACCCTCAAGTAGCTCACTTGCTGTGGAACAAACTTGCTGTTTTTTCATATATAGAAACCTGATTCTGGGTTCTGGTTAAAGAATATTGGGGGTCTAGTGAGAGCAAATAATTTTGCAAGTGTATAACTATGATCAGAGGGACTGTATGAATGCATGTGAACCCAGAGGACCAGCCAGGGGATGTTATGTGAGCCGACGTGGCTTCACCTGGAGTAGAAGTGAGTGCACCTCTCTCTGACTTACTCTGCTGTTGGTGGTTCTAAAGAGTGGATTCTGGAAAATCTCAACAGTGAAGAAGACACCTTTCCAGGTAGGCAACAAGATTACAGGTGGAATCTAATAAAGCAGGTTCCCAGGAGCCTTCAGCTTCTGCCTGCTGCTTGGGAGGCTGAGTGAGCCTGTAGAAAGAGAAGAAAAAGAAAACGTGGCTGAAGTTTGTTCTTGTCAGAGTTTAATGTCATAGTGGTGTACCCTGTCTGTGATCACCTCTTCTTTTTTTTTTCTTCTTTTTTGTGTGTCCCCTGTTCTTGCTTTATTATTTAAAGATGGTCTTTCTAAGGATACCTCTTTTCTGCCTCTGCTACTGCAAAATGTTAAAGCCTTTGGTTTGGGACACAGTTCTGTCATGGCAGTTACTTAATCCTGAAGACAACAAGTCTTCCACAGTGTGCCCAGATGCTTGGGACGAACTGATGCTCACCTTCTGGCAGCACATTCATTTGTCTGTCCTTGCTATTTACTCCTGCTATCAAGGGCTCAGTCTGGGCATGGGGGACAGGATGAAGATTTGCTCTGGGGTCATTGCAAAGCTCTGGTGTCTTGTAAATGGAGGAAGAAGCACACCCTTGAGCACACTGCTCAATTTCATTATTTAAATGAGAATATGGATTTTACCATTATTTGTTAAAGAGACCTTATTTTCCCATTGTGCATTCTCGGCACCTTTGTTGAAGATCAGTTGGCTGTGTATGCATGCGTTGAATTTTGGGATCTGTATTCCATATTTCCAATACTTAACGGGTGCCCCCGTGCTAGGACCCTGCTGTCTGAATTTCTGTATCTTTTCCTCTCAGATTTCAATCTCATGAATGCGTATCTGCCAACGTTATTCTTTTTCAACATTATTATGATTGAGACATATAAGAATTCAAAAAAAATGTTGGGTTATCTTTTCTATTTCTGCACATATGGTTGTTACCAGTTTGATAGTAGTTGTTGTGCATCTTTGGATCATTTTGTAGTATTGTGTATTAGTCAGCTTTTGCCTTCCTGTCTGTGAATATGGGACACCTTTTCATTTATTTGTACCTTCTCTCCTTCCTTTCAGTCACATTCTGTTCTTACCAGGTTATGAGTATTTCATCTCATTGGTTAGATCCTAAGTATCTAATGATTTCAGAGGTTATGATCCATGGAATTACATTTGTAATCTTGCTATTGGATCGTTGATATTGAGTGCATATTGACACAACTGCCATTTGAGTGTTAACCTTGTACTCTGCAATTTTGATGAATTTATTAGCATGAATAGCATCCTTGTAGACTATCTCCGATTTTCCATATGCAGAATGTGAAAGAAGTTCTCAGCTTCATACCTCTCCTCAGGCATATTGTGACTGTGAAAGTCTATTCATATTCACCTACTGAATGGTGTCCTTCCAATTAGTGGTGCAGTAAGGTCGTTCAGGAAATACTTTGCCTACTTATTCCATCATTTATAGTTTTAATTCTTTGTTCATGCTATTGTATGTTTATTATTTTTCCAGTAGAGTAAAATACAGTATTTCTGATTAGATTCTGCATACCTGACGTCTCTTGTGCTTCTTTCTTTCCACCATCAGTTATCTTTTAAACTCTAGACTTCAGAATCTGAAGTGAATCTGGAATGTGGAAATGTGAAGGAAAACGCACAAGAAGAAAACCTAATATTGCTATTCCCATGGCTTCCCTCCTTTCATCACTAAATGTATATTTAGTTCACAGTATTTGAGAGCGTGTTACTTCTACTCATATCACAAGTTTTCCCAAATACATACTGATAATATCTGTGTCTAGGCCAGTTTACCTACGAAAACATAGTTTTAAACTTACTTTTGTGGATTATTCAAAATTCCCTATGTACAGAGATATGAATAATATGCTTTCACCCACCCTTTTACCCTCCTCAGAAGGAAGGAAGGCACAAATCAGGTCTCTCGTGACACTATCCTGAGCACTTTGCCAAGGCTAAGCCACGGTCATCTCCATAACTTGGCAACAGCCTCAGTTTGAGCCACTTTTCATTTAAGAGAAAGAAATCATACAGGATATGATGTCACATGCCTGGAACCTTCCAATATGGTAGATAATTCTCCTCCCCAAGTAAACTGGTGTTCATTCCATTTGACCAGGTCTCTGTGGATTTTTCATCAGGTCACTGACTCATTTGTAGACGGCATGCACTTACATTTTCTTTTTTTCAGAAGTAGCTACTGTGTGGAATTGGGATGTCACCAAAAGCATTTTTGATACTCATATCTCATGCTTTTGTCCCAAGGTTAGAGTTAAGTTGAAATGACTATTTTTTGGACAGAGCAGTTGTGCATTATGGCATCACCCCTGACTTGGGAGCTCATCTCTTGGGTATGCGTGCAGGCCTGGAATGTGTTAAGCTTTGAGATATCAAGCAAGTCAGTTCTTTTTTAATTTACCATTCTGAAGATCTACAATACACAGTTTATTTTAATAAACCCATTCAATCCTCGCTACAGAGCTCACCTAAACAGTGATTGTTTACTATCCACACACCCCTTGGATGGAGAAACTGAAGGGCTAATGAATGTGCCCATGCTTTTAAGCCCCTAAAGGAAGGAGGCAAGATATGAACCTAGGGTTATAGCTCTAAAGCTGAATTGATAATGAATTGTTGAACTGCAGTCATTACCCTGAGGAGGATGGCTCTCAACCCTACCATCGTGGGTAGGTAGCTGTAAGTTGGTTCCCTCACACATGAGTCTACAGAGATCCCAAACACTGCCTATGATTCCAAGATGGCTGCAGCAGTCACGTGGCTTAGGGCAGACAACAGTGAATGTAACTGCAGGATATGGCATGGCCATTGGTGTGAATACTACGGAGCTGCCTTAGATACCCCTGACAACAGGGTCAAGTGCAAGTTCTGAATATTAGGAAGCGGTACTTAGAAATATTGAGAAACTCCCTTCAGTGCTGGGGACATTCCTCAGCAGTTGGCCCCAAACAAATAAGATGAATGGGATATTTTTGAGATAGCTGAAAACTCTTATCACCACAAGACCTAGAAATGATCAACTTCTGCAAACTACATTAATTAGACACAATGACAAGACAGAAAAGGAGCATAGGTATCCTCCATATGCAATTACTGCACCTGCATGACAATGGAAAGGTGGACTGAAGAAGGAAATATTCGTGTGATGAACACCAGTTGTTTTATAGAATATAATAATTTCAATGTTTCCAATTCTTCCATCATTGGCTATAACAAAAGTTCAGTACATAACTAAAATAGACTGTTTTGCCTAGAATTGAATCCGTCTGTCTGATCAACTTAGCTTTTATTCAAGGATTGAAAATTCTAAAAAACAGAACTGCAGCGACAGCCATTTATGTGACAGCCGTTTTCCTTCATGTGAATCCATAAATGGAAAAATGTTCCTGGGACATAAATCACATAAACATATATTGTTATTTCTGTTTGACACAACAAATCCCTAGTGTCCTCTTCGAAAAAATAAACCTCACTGTGATTACACATTGCAAACCAAAAGGTTATCTAAAACCAGTCTCAATTTAGAAGTTTAATTTGCCAAGGTTAAGGACATGCTAGCGACACAGCCCCAGGAGGTCCTGAGTACATATATCCAAGGTGATCAGGCTACAGTTTGGTTTTTACATGTTTTAGGGAGACATAAGACATCAGTTAATACATTCGAGATGTCAATTTCTTCCCATTGAGAAAGATGGGACAACAGAAATTGGGGAGAAGGTTGGGGCTCCAGGTCATAAGGAAGATTTCAAGATTTTTTGATCGTCAATTGGTTGAGTTTAAAAACCTGGAATCAATAGAAGAAAGTGGGTTCAGATAAGGGGCTGGGTAGACCCAGGTTTTATTATGCATCTTTAAAACTGATGCTAAATGTAGCACCAGCACTGATTGGGTCCTAGAGTACTGACGTAGTCTTGAATGTGCTGTTTTTTTTTTGTTTGTTTGTTTGTTTTTTTTAAAGAGCTTCAAAACGTGTGAGAGGTAGGAAGGCACTCTTCCGTTGAACCTTAGTGTGCATTTGAGATTCCCTTTTCTGTTGACTCTTCTGTGTTGCTGCATGATGCCTCTAGTATGAGGCGGAGACCTCCATGTCTCATCTCTTTCCCGCTGCCCTCCCTTGCCAGCCCTCTTCCACCCAGGGGGACAGCCCATCAGCAACTCAGTCCATGCCTGATCATCACCCAACCTCCATATCCCAGCCACCAACCACCAGGGTACTGAGCTTTTTTCTGTGTACTTCCAGTGTCGTCAAGTGACCTGGCGAGCACGGTCGGACTCAGATCCCAGACAGAGGAAGAAGATCTGGAGGAGGAAAACCTCTACGTAAGACTCCTTTGTCTTCTAAAGAAATTTCGCTTTTGTGATTTCTTCTCAATTAATCTGGATATGAAATCTGAAAATGTACATTATGTACAGTGTATGCAATTCTCTTTGTGGGGGTGAAATTCAGTGGGAATGTCTTCCCAAATAACACGCAATACACTGGGAGGTTTTCAAATGATAGCATCCATTATCGGCTGTAATGCAGAGGCACTTTCCTCAACACATTTTCCTCCTTGGATTAAGCATTGTGTGTTTGCCCATTAAATCGACTTTAAAGGTGAATTCTGTGAATAAAGAGCTTGTTTTTCCATAAGCATCCTCATGATTTTGAGGATGTTGACCTATGGCTCAGCCGCTGTGCCACTCTTGTTCTCTACCCTTGCCAAGGGAATAACAGATCTATGTGAGGCACACCACAGAGTCTCAGCCTCATAATGTTTTCTTTTATGTAATTGCAGGGAATATCCCAGAAAAGGGTGAAAAGTAAGTACCATGAAGTAACTCACATCATGAGGGACCAACTGACCGCTTGAGCGTATAGAAACCTGATTCCGGGATCCCGCTGGGAAGGAGGATTGGGGGTCTCCTGAGAGAAAGTGATTTGGCCAATGTAGAACTCCAGCCAGAGAGGCTGTAGGAAGGTTTATCGACTCAGAACAAAGACCAGGGAATGATGTGCGAGGCCACATGGCTTTAGATTCTGGGAGAGGAGTGGGTGAGTCTCTCTTTTTAATGACTTTTCCTGATGTTTTTGTTTTTAAAGGCTGGCTTGGGAGCGTCTTCAAAGCAAAGGAAGACGATCCCCAAGGTAGGGAATTACTTTCCAGGTAGGACCTAATGGGAAAGGGTTCCTAAGAGTCTTCACCAGGTTATCCCCACTGCTTGAGGGGCTGAAGCAGGGGGTATGAAATCAGAAAGAAAATGAAAATGTGTGCGAGGTTTGGTTTGCTCTTTTCAAAGTTTGTCGTCATAAAGGTAGGAACTGTGTCTCTGGGCTGTGAGGGTGCTGTGTTCATTAGAGTTGATCTCTGCAGTACGCCTGCTTTTTTCTGCCCAGTGAAACATCCAAACCTTTGGTTTGGATTAATCAGCACTCCTTGGAATATGCACAAGGGATGTAGGGCTGGGCATTGAGAGTCATCTGTAAGGAAAGGAAGGAATCTGTGGGAGCATCTTTCTCACAGGCATTTACTTGAACTTAGAGAAAAAACTCTGCTGTGTGCTAAGGGGAAATTGATAATCACCCTCTGAACTTTTAAGACTTGTTATAGCACGTTTATGTTTCTGTCCTCTCTGTGGGTTTAAAGGGATCTCCCAGGGGTGGATGGCAGAGTGAATGTTCACTCTGGGCTCGCTGGTAGGTCAGTCTCCTGGGAAGGCAGAGAAGGAGTCTGACCTTGAGCACATTTGTAGCCTCCACTTCCCACCCCTACCACAGATTCTGAGATGAGGCTTCTTTCTCTCCAGTTCTGTAATTTTGGGGAAACGAAGAGTTTCTTCCCACAGAAGATGGCATTACACTATTTCCTGTCTTCAAAAATTAGGCTTCCGTTGTTCTCTAAGTTGATATTAAAAGTTAAGTTCTGGACCTTTTATTCACAGATTGCTAAAAGGTGTGCAGGAAACTCCATAGGATAAAATGTGCTGATAGCATATAATTCTGTCCATGCTGTGCTATGGATGACATTTTTATCTCTGGAGGATCCTCATTTTACATAATAAGATGCAAAACTAAGTGCACACCCTCGATTCAGTCTGGGGCACTTCATTAAAGAACTGAGTTTGCTGCTGTCTGTCATTTGCTTTTCTTCATGAGACCTTTGAACCACCTAAATATTGCCAGCACCCTCTTTTGGGACCCTGACATCTGAGAGGGTGAGATGGCACAAGTGCAGACATCCCTGGTTCCTCCCTGAAATTTCCCTCCCCCTTTATTCATCTTCTTCCTTAAGGGACCTGCTCTGACTGCTAATGACTTGTTTAGACCTCTCCAGGTTTGGACTGTCATACATAGAATAAGTCAATATGTGATTCTTGGAGTCTGGCTTTTCACTCACATTATGATTTGAAATTCATTCACGTTCGTAAGTGTAACCGGCTTTGGAATAATACTGGCACTCACTTCTGTGAAGTAGATTGTTAGAAGGGAACATATCTTTTATTGCCATGAATAGTGCCAAATATTTTTCAAAATGGTGTCACTAATTCATGCTCCTGTGGCAGCATATGTGAGGAGACATTTCTCCAAATCCTTGTGCACTTTTAGTTTTATCTCTCCCTGAAACTTCTATCACTGTGGTTAGTCTTTCAATTGTATAGCATCTTACTTAAAATTTTTAACAAAAAATTTTCTTTTAATCTAATGATGCAGGCAGTAGGTTTGTGTACGCCCATCTGACCCCAGCCATGTAAGTAATCATTGATCAAAATGTCACTATGCCACATGACTGTACTTGATAACAGCTGCTTAAGTTATTAAAATGTAAAGGATAAGTGATACACATTTGAGTCTTGGATACTATGTGGTCACTTTTCTATGTTGCCTCTTTGAAGCATCACAATCACTTTGAGGCATAGTTTGGTTCTATTCATTATACAGATGAGGAATGTGAATCTCAGTTAAGTAAATTATTCACGGGACACACCCACAGCTGGACCTCTCTAACACCAAAGGCTAATCTATAACTAACATGCTGCACTGCCTGTAGTGGCAAAGTAGACTTGCCATAAAGTGAAGTTTGCTTCCACAGCTGGGCGTGTGAGCTTAGCGGGGTTGCTGTGACCCATGCTTTATGGGTTTGAGATTGGTGTTGCAGAAACCCAGATGGAGAAGCTCTTGGCTGAGGGAGTGAAAAATTACTGAAAGGATAGATGAGTGCGTTTGAAGGATCATGCTTCCATAGAGCATGTTGTTGAGCCTCTTGGAATAAAACATACAATCAAACAATCACCCAGTCCTCAGTCGTACCATTCAGTAAGCATCAGCACGCCATGAAGTGTGCCCATGCTTTATGGGTTTGAGATTGGTGTTGCAGAAACCCAGATGGAGAAGCTCTTGGCTGAGGGAGTGAAAAATTACTGAAAGGATAGATGAGTGCGTTTGAAGGATCATGCTTCCATAGAGCATGTTGTTGAGCCTCTTGGAATAAAAAACATACAATCAAACAATCACCCAGTCCTCAGTCGTACCATTCAGTAAGCATCAGCACGCCATGAAGTGTGCTCACTGCTGTGTTGTGGGGACATGAAATCTATCCCAGGCTTCTGTGGCCTCCCATTCTGTCCCATCCAATGAAACTCTTTTCTGTTCCATTGGTCTACATCTCTGTTTTGGTACCAGTACCGTGCTGTTTTGATTACTGTAGCAACTGACTAAGTTTGTGATCAGGTTTTCAGTATTCATTGAGAGAAACAGAACCTTTTGCAAACAATCCACAGCACGACGTGCCCCTCATAAAGCTTTGTTTCTGTGTTGCAGGTAGTGCCGTGTTTTATCTGAAGTGTGACTTGGTAAGTATTCTGGAATTATTGTCAAGAAAAAAACTGGTTTCAATGTGCAGTGCCACGCTGATTCTGGGATTGTGATAGGATAAGAATAGTGAAAGTGTTTTTTAGAAACTGAGTTCCCCGGGGGAAAAATCATGGCCAAATTTTGACCCCTGGCAGCATCTGTGCTCCTTTTGGATGGTACTGAGTTGGGTGCTCCTAGGATTGGTGGTGTCTTGTGTGAGGCTGCATCATGTGAGTGAACGTGTGTGCTTCTGTGCAGGTGAGGCTGTGTGTTTTCTCAGGAGAGATTTCCCATTTACACAGCCCGTTCTCCGGTGTCTACTTTTAAAGAATAAAATCCAGCCCCACTCTTACTCTGTCTGTACAGTGACTCCTCCACCCTCACCAGAGCCATCCTGGGTCTGGTTTATTATCCTCACAGCTCAGGTGGAGAACCTGAAGGGCCAGGGGGTGGGCCCAGCTCCTGAGTTCCTGAATGAAAAAGTGAAACACAAAACCAGGAGTCTAGGCCAGTGCTGACACTGGCAACTACTGGCATGCTCTCAGTCATGGGGTGTTGACACCATGCAGGGAGTCCAGCATTCGTGTTTAAGCCCTAAGGAATTCCAGACACTGCCCATGGTTATAAAGTGGCCCTCCATGGTCACCAAAACCCAGGGCAGTTACAGGTACATCTCCCCACAGACCGGCATAGTCATCAGTGTGAAAAGCACAAAGATGTTTGTTTGGGTCAGCTCACAGGTCGTTTTTTGTTTAATTTTTTAAGTTCAGGGGAAACCTGTGCGGGATGAGCAGGTTTGGTACATGGGTAAACGTGCGTCATGAAGCATTTGTTGTGCAGGT